GAGTGTTTCGTTGATGGTAATTTCCTTGGGAGCATCGGTCATCTCGACATCGTCGGTGTCGGGTGCTTGTGCCTGACTGCTCGCGGATGCACTGGTGGGTGTCATATCGTCGGTTGGTATTGAATCGGTACTTGAAGCAGAAATGGTGCTCAAAGTGTTACGGGAGCTGCCTCTAGGGTCACGTGGAAGTGTCTAGAGATCTCTCGAGATGGTTTAAACTAAACTTCAAGTAGGAATTCAATAAGGTTGTAACTGGTTGCAATTCTCGTAACTATAGTAATGAAACTAATGATTGTTCTTGAGCACGAAGCTCTACATTGTAATGAAATCCCATTCCCTTATATAGATCTTCGTACTCTGATGTTGGTTGGAGTTTCTTGGAGTCCTGGCTCCCAAGGACCTCCTTGGAGCCCTGGCTCCTGGGGACTCCACCACGTGACACTTGTCACATGGCATTCTGTTACCCATCGTAACATATCCATTCTTGCTTTCCTATTGTAACCTTTCAATTCGATTTAAAAGTAGAATCTACAATTATATATGTTAATTCTGTTTCTCCAATTATATATCCTATTTCATTTATATTATATATATTCTTGAATTCATAATGTCGTTCTTTGATTTGTACTTGAAATATTGAAAACCATATTGAAATTGTTTCAAATGTGGTTTCTTTATGCCTTATAGATTCCAATTTACGAGAATAGATTTCTTTAAGTTTGAGATATCAATTTAAAAACCTATAAATTTATCATTGACCTATATGATTTGATTAAAAGGATAAAGGGGTAAATAATGATATAAAAATGATATGTTGATTTAGAATTTCTTAAATCATTTCTTTTAATAACCTAAAAGTTGCAGGGTATTTAGTAGCTGTTAATTGTGAGATTCATTATATTAGAATCTTTTCTTTCGTGTTAGAAAGTTTTTGAAAGGATTTGTGAGATTGAGAGTGTGATTGTCGTTTAGTTATTCAATTTATTAAGGTTGATTTCGGAATCTTAAAATGAATAGTAGCACTTCGAATTGAAGTAAATTGTTTATTTTTTAAACTTTCTATAGCCTTTTGAATATTATCTTCCAATTCACTACAATTTAATGACTTTCGATCCATTGTGTGTTGAATAAATGTGTAAAATAAAGAAATGAGGGGGTGATTTTGACCCATATCATGACATGACCCACTTCTAGTCAAGTTACGTTATCACTAAATCAACAGAGTTTTATTATACATTTTAAAATTGGATCTTTTTATTAGTGCTTTTTGAAATGGTTGGTTTTCGATGAGTACAAAGGAATAGAAGGGTTTAGGCTTTACATTCGTAGGTCTATTGAGTACATACCAAGAATTTGGAATATCTTATTGCATATCTGAATGTTTGATCTTTTTCTTAGCGTCTTTTGAAATGGTTGGCTCTCGTTGAGCGCAAAGGAAAACAGAAGAGAAGAAGTGACCCAAGCTTTGCGCTCGAAAATCTATTGGCCGCAGAATATATATGTAAAAGAAGGAAGGCAGATTGGAAGAAGGTCACACGTGATTAGGGTTTGTGAGGTCGCGGCCTCGCCATTCACCCTCAACCTCTTACTTGATTAGCTTAGGAACACTTTCCCTTGAAATTCTGTTTAACATCGACAATATATCTTAAGTTTGATCATCAATGCCAACCATCGACAAGCGCGGCCAATTTTCTTCAAATTTACGTCCTGCGCAGTATTTTACAATAGCTTGGATGGATGGAAAAAGGTTCGGCTTTGATACAACTTTACGACAGAAGATAGGACTACGTGGTGGGTAGGAATGCGATTTTGGCGATCTATAAGGAGATACCGAACACCCGGATATTTTTCAGGCGACTTTGATATAAAGACGGAGATACAAGATTTCTGTGAAGGTTTTCGGCGTGTGCGACAGAAGGGTTGATGGATTTGGTGGCTTTACTGCGACTTCGACGACATGCGAAGGTGTGATAGATAGAGTTAATGGATCCATTGGAACTCGAATTTTACGAGAAGAATTGACTACAGCCCACGGACGTGAGCAATATCAATGTGATATTGATAATCGGGAGATTTTAGAAATATTGCGGCTTAGTGCGACGTGTACGACTGAAGTTGAGTCGAAATTTGATCAGCAGGCTTTTGCGACAAGAATTGGCTGGAATCCATGGACGCCATAAACCCAGACATGATTGTGATAGCTATGGATTCGAGAGATGTTGAATCGAATTATGTAACGAAAATGGAGATAATTGCGTCGAAAAAACTCCCACGGTAAGGAAGAAGATGGGTTTGATCGAATTTCAAACGAGCACGATAGTAGAGCTTAGCAGAAGTGAAGATAAGCTTGGTAGATCTGGACTGATTTAATTGCGTATGCTTGCGACGAATGTGAAGAGCGCTTTGAGTGAGTTAATGGGAACGAGGGAAAAATTACCTTGAATTGGATGCTCGGTTGCGACAATATTACAAAGGAGAAAGCAAGACAAGCAGAAGTGGGACTGCCCGATACTACTAATAAGATACCAGGGGCAGGATACTGCAATAAGGCCCCGAGAGATGAATGGAACACCATGGGACACTAGATCTTAACCGTGTCCACGATATAGGAAAGAAAAAGTTGCAGTCACTTGAAGGGAACGGAATATAACATTTTCTTGCAAAGGGTCAGGGCACATGCCATATATCTTCGATTTATTTGGACTGCTCCTTGGAACAGAATCGAAGACCATACCAGCCTGAATGGAGCTCGTCATACTTCACATCGATGATGGATTTTGAATTATGTATCAGCTGATGAGAGGGATTTGAATACTCAGTAAGTGATACTACAGAGTTCTATTGAAACCTGACGAGTCACCATGACCATCTGTATGAATGCGAAGGACGCGGAGAAGAAATACATGAATCGGAGACGAACACTGGATCACACTGATTCATCGGGAGGTACCTGCGGATAGCGCACGACTAATTAAGGAGGCCCTACCAAATACTCCATAAAGTCTTGATTGAGGAATGGATGTGATGAGACACACCAGTTAGTATAGGGGGACAAGAGTGGTGGAAGCCGATAGATGCTGTGGAAAAAGACTTGGAATACACACTACTTGATGAGGAAACACGAACCTGGCCTTACCGCTCGCTTGCCTAGAGAGCCTAGAGAGACTCTGTAAACGGACGGTGCATATTGGTAGGTCACAGAAGATTAGACTCGTGGAGGAGTGCGCTTTTTGGCAATGGGAAAGCTCGACGAACTTTGGATTTGATACGACTAACAACGGGACTGAAGGTGGTGGATTAAAAGGAAAAAACAGGCATGAATTTTGACGCGGAGCGGGATCGCGAAGCAGGTATAGTGGTGGGCTAAAGCCTGTCCGATTTATTAATATATTGAGGACCTTGTTTGACTCGACAATGTTTGCGACTACGTCATCTAAGACATAAAGAATCATAGCTTCGACACCTGACACTTAGGAAAATCCCCATTTTTTGACTCAGTCTCCAGACTCAGACTTCTACTAGCCACTTCTCCTAGCTGAATTAAAAATACTATATTCATAGAATCGTGTGAGAACAGTCGCGGTAAGAGATTGGAGAGGCGAGGATATGTCAAGGGCGAAAGGGAAAAGAAGTACAAGCAACAAATGAAGAAGCAGCAGGCGTAGAAGGAAGGTGAGGGGCAATTAGAAGGTTAAGGATATGTAAGGGTAACATAGGAGGTGGCAGTTTGCTCGAAGAAAATCCATTGATCAAATCCGAAATCAGCAAAGCCATTAACGCCTCTGAAGAAAGTTGACTGGAGCACGTAAGAATTATGAACGATAGGACTGTACCAATAACTGAGCGGATTGGGTTCACTCATGAACTAACTGCCAGGATACAATACTTCTCTGGTCTTTTCAGATTGATACATAGAGAAGAGAAGGGAAGCTTCCTTGCCGTTAAAAGGACTGGAATATTTGAGTTGTGAATGGCCCGTACTGATTTAACTGAGTTTCAGGGCGGACTGTTTAAGCTACACGATTTATTATTTTGCGATATTTCAAGCTACTCAACGAACAAACGAATACAAAGGAGGAAGACACATAAGGCTCAAGCGTGCTTCAAATCGAAAAGAGCCTGCTAATGATTTCCGAATGACAGAAGGTTAGTCTAGGGAGATGATTTGTCTAGAAAAGCGCTGCCCGCAAATCTGGGACGCTAGTTTTTGGTGTTGAGGAAGGGCTTATGACGGGCTGAAGACAGAAATAGTTCAACTATGACATATAGAAAGAATACTTTGGCGCACGATCTTTCTTTCTCAGAATCATACGCTCAATTTTCGAGAGGGCCAATGGGTCTGCTCGTTAAGCATCCCAGACATCATTTTGGCCTGGAACCGAGTCTCTTTTTCTGATTTGAAAGTAGGGGTTTTGAGATAGCAGGTATGCTGAAAATGCTTGATTCAACGGACTCCTTTTACGCCATGTTAGATCAGGTATCGGGTCCATGGAAAAATCCACACTCCCAGTCTGGTTGTGACGCTCTCCCGATTGCTGATCTACTTCGATATGCGTAAGTACCTAGCAAGCGATTCTTGTGATTTATACCTGCCTTAATCCTCAGACAATGATTTTTTTGCATTGTTAATCACAGAGTATACCACATTGACACAAAGTAGTAAAGCCTCCGCACTTCACAACGATTGAGATCGTAGTAGCCTGAGGCTGGGGAAGCGTGAGGTGATTCTGGGAAGTGAATATGAAATGACAGGCCCAAACTGTGGTTTGTTGATCTATAATTATCCCAAATCTCCCAGGGTCTTTTGATAAAATGCTTACCTTGACCCTTTTCAACAGCGAGATTACAACACAAGTTCGAAACCTAGGAGCTCATAAACTCACCCACATAGTTAGTTTCTCCCTAAAATTTGTAAACAGAATCCCAATGACTATAGCTAACTTTATATATTAGTGGAAGAGATGGTATTCTCAGCAGTACAAGATATGATAATGTCAACAATGTCGATCTTGTCTTTACATCTCCCTGACCCAGAGGGAAAAATCGTTGCTCAAATCCTTGATCCTATAACGACCGACAAGCTCGAAACTTTCCACTGTTTTCCGTCCCTGGTCAAGGAGTTGCAAATCAAAATATGGCAATCAGCTTTTCCCCCTCCACGAAGAGTCGAAGTACGACCTAATCGCTTTTGTCGCCAAAAACAGCCTCACTGTTCTTCATGTAGATGTAGAGCCAAGCGCACGGCTCCCTTGCCCATAACACTGTATGTCAATCAACAAAGTCGAGAGAAGACACTCAGACACTATCGACTTGTTTGGATGACGCCAGAAACACAAGGCACTTTCAACGGCAAAGTCAAACCTCTTTGCTTCGATCCATCACGGGACTTTTTGTACACAGACATCTTCGACATGATGTGCTGTACTCGTTCTGATTGGATGGCTCCATTAATCGCCAATCGATTCCTGAATAGAGATTGCTTCAAAAATTTAAGAGTCTTGGAGGTTCGCTCTTGGGAATGGCACGATTGTATCGGCAAATCTCTACAAACACCATATTGGGTTGCGTTAGAAGTCTTCACACAACTTGAGGAAATACGTCTCATGCTACATCATCCATCGCAATACCTTCCAAAGCTCTGTGCAGATTGTAGAAGCAGGCATCAAGGGAGGCCGTGGACTAAATCTATGGAACGAAAAAGTATAGATGCGATGACCGCCTTTTTTCAGCGCATTCATGATGATACCGCCGTCGGTGAACAACTCGCTGAGTGGGGAGTACAGTTACATACTAAACATGAGATTGCAGAAGTCAAGATTCCAAAAGTTGTTGTTGTTCCATGGACTAGACGATGTTAATAAGTAAGCGTTACGCTAGTTGACAGTTTGGTGCACTTCTGGCTCCTCTTCATGGAGCGCTACATATGTGATACGGGGCTAACAATTAAGATTGCGCTTAGCGGGTTCAGATAGTGCGATATGTCCATAGCAAAATAACGTTGAATTTTTACAACATCTCTTTACATGTGCAGATGCTTAAGCTTTCCCGTTAAGGCGTTTTGAAAATTTACTAATATCAAGAAACTTTTCGTATTTTATTGGCAAGATTTTCCCAGGCTTCCCCTTCCCTTACTCTTCCTGCTCCGCCATGAACCCCAAATACTCGCACAGCCTTTGGCATCCACCATTTTCTCGTGGCGTTGATCTTTTTCGTATCTCGAGAAAAATTCACAACTCCAAACCTTTGCTTTACAGCTTTTAATTCAGAGATTTCGAGCCTAGTCACCCTTGGTTTCCCTACAAAGTTCATCGTAGTGATATCGACCTGTGCATCTTTTGGTGGGTTCTTTGAGTATCTCATCAATAGATCCCGTGAGTTGCGAGTAAAATTAGGTAATCTGAGATGGATGTAATTGACAAATGGCGACGTTATATATGCCACAAACACTACTGGAACAGCTCCAGATAGTAGAACTTCGAGTTATATTAGTTTTTGAAAAAATGAAACGAGAAAAATCGGTAATTCTGATGTCATTGCTGCAATCAATTCCCGAAGAATTCGAAATCTTAGCATTAACTTACCAGCAGGTGCCACCCATTCAGGCTCGTCCTCCGCATAGTAATGTGCTGGCGCTACAATCAGAGTAAAAAATACAAATATGAAGATAGTCGTCACTTTCAAGCAGCCGAGAAACACTGTTCTTCCAGTCCCAGAATGGTAGATAAGTAGACGTTCGGGATATGCTATCTACAATTAGTTTGAATGATACAAAGAGGCAGATGTACTGACCGGGCCTTTTGCTTGCATATTGTGGTGTTGGTGCAGGTCGTGAGGTTGCTACTCGTGGTATTTTGGGTTTCGCGATTTGGCTAGCGCATCTGAAACTACCTGCTCGGAGACATGATAAGGGTCTGTGGCTAGCTAGCCCTTTGGGCGCCGTTAATCGTGCGATCAATATTATCATTGCTTTTGATCACGGGTATGGCGAGGGAAAGAGTGTCTTCAAGAAAATAGGGTTGGGAACGAATTATCAATCAATCATTATTCTCCCCGTGGCCGAATAGCTGATCCAATGTCAAATTAGATCTCAATATCTGGCAGCTGTGTAATATTTCGAATATTGTTTAAATGGATACAGCATAGAAATAAATTTGATACAATGGTCAAACGCGTTTGACGCCACGGGCCGCGATGTTTAGCCGCGGTTACATGTCTTGGTATCATTGTAACAGATTACCGTTAGAGCTTAGGAACGAATAATGTTTGCTCACACAACATTTGAGGAAGTATGATATTGCGGAGATATTGCAGATAAAGAAAAAAGGCGCTCGCTCGCCTTTAAACTCGGTATAATGATTTCGCAATACATCACAACAATCGCTTTCTTGATTTGCAGCATCTTGAGTATCAACGTCACGGCATACACTCCTTTATCCGATGAGACATTTCATAGTCTCCCATCTGCTGGCGCAGATTTTGATATACATAATGGAGCCATTCTTTCACCGATCCTGATCCCTAGAGTCCCAGGAACTCCAGGAATTAAAACTGTTCAAAGACACTTCGTTGATTTCTTTACAACGCATCTTCCGGAATGGACAATTGAATTCCAAAACTCGACCTCAAAGACTCCCGTCACCGGCAACAAGCAAGTACCGTTTGTCAATATGATTATAACTCGCGATCCTCCTTGGGCAAAATCTGGAGATGTTGGAAGATTGGCCTTGGTGGCTCATTACGATAGCAAACTCACCCCCACGGGATTTATTGGCGCAACTGACAGCGCAGCTCCGTGTGCGATGATTATGCATGCAGCTAGAAGCGTGGATCAGGCATTAACGAACAAATGGGAGGCGATGAAAATGGCAGGTGATATTGGTTTGGAGGAAGAAAAGGGTGTTCAAATACTGTTCCTCGACGGCGAAGAAGCATTCCTGAGCTGGACCAATGACGATTCTCTTTATGGCGCAAGGTGAGAGATTGTTCCCAATCCGCACAATTCTTAATCTAACCCATTCAGGGCATTGGCAGAAACATGGGAAGCGACGGCTCATGCAGCTATGTCGAATTACAAAAATCCATTAGACTCGATTAGCTTGTTCCTTCTGCTCGATCTGCTTGGGCACGAAAATCCAAGCATTCCTTCATATTTCGAAACTACACATTGGGCATATAAGAGCCTTGCTACCATCGAAAATCGTTTACGATGGCTTGGGATAGCTCAAACAAAAGTCAAACAACATTTCCTTCCCGACGTCACTCGGACTGCTTTTTCCGGTTTCGGTGGCGTACAAGATGATCATCTACCTTTCATGGCCCGTGGTGTGGAAATTCTACACATGATACCTAACCCATTCCCGAGCGTTTGGCATCAAATTGAGGATGACGGGGAGCATTTAGACATGCCTACAGTAGAAGATTGGGCTAAAATGTTAACGGCGTTCGTTGCTGAATGGATGGATCTGGAGGGGCATTTTCCATCGAAGGCACAAGCGGAAGCAAAGAAGGCAAAGAGGGACACTACTTCTGATAGAAAGACTGAACTGTGAGTTGTTCATAGTCATTTTGTAGCTTCCAAAACTCGTATTAATTTTGTAGTAGTAATGAGACATAGGGACGTCAGCTGGATATATTGTTTCAGTCAAGATGATACCTACTTCGAGCGGATTTATTGCTATTCTTGTCTCGTGCCGCGAAAAAGTGATATTAATTGAAATTTACAAAAGCTTCCTATCATTAGAAATATGTTTTTGCTCAATACAAAGAATGATACTCAAAAGCTTGATACTGTTGAAGTCATTTTATTTTACTAGCCATAACCAAGGTGGAACATGGAAGAACAAATTCTCCGGTCGTTGTTACCCCCATCGCCCCGTGTAACCACTGCGTCTAATCATCTAGTTCATGCTATTTTTCGAGCCTTTTGTATAATGCCATCATAAACAACTCTCGCTGAAGTCGAAGTATCATGAAACTTTAACTGCATGCAAATCCTCAAACTACAATAAAACTATAAAGAGGTATTACAAATGACACGAGAAACTAAGATGACCTTAGAGCTAGTTAGGAATAACTCTAGAACAGGCAACATTTACAACGCAACATATGACGCTGCTTGATGTCAATGACTTAATGTGACAATAGACCTGCGAAATCAATGAAAGCGACTAATAAGGATTTCGCGTCTCTCTCGAGTAACTTTTATACGCCCTCGGCTATAGAAACAGATCTATCTATACCATCGCCTACCATAAAGGAACAGAGCTCACTCCGCCCTCGAAGTAATTCCACCAGGTTCGTATACTGTCCCTGAAATCATCATCCTGTTCAGAACTGTTAGTCTCAACTGTTATACCGATGAACATGAAGGCAGAAGTATTAGTAGAAGTATCGAGAGATAGACCAGGTTGTCAAAAGTTCCATGTGTGCAAGTTTCTCTTGATATCTCAAGGAGCTGCTTGGAGCATGGGATTACATCTCAGATTGGCGCCTGCCGAGGCTGTATCTTAGGTGTATGAAATCATCTATTTTCACGATGTATAGAATGGGGTGATGGCAATGTTGCTGGCGCGAGTTCGAATATAGGCACGGTCGCGACTTTCGGTCAGGAGAGTTCAATGTTAGACGTCGGACGGTTGACATGACCTGACCTGATTTGGCTTGAACCTCTCCCGCTTCAAAGTTCAACGATTTAAATCTTTGCAGCAGAATAGTGTTGATATTTCATCCATTAGTTATAGTTCTTACTACGCGGTCCACTCACAAGCATATTCGAAATCCATAGGTCCAGGATGAATACAATTTATATAAGCTAAGTAAGGTTTCCAAGAGATTACTGCCTCTACCTGAGATCAGCACGTCGAAGCTGTGTTCTGCAGCAAGAAAATGATCCATGGCATGAATTTCTGTCAAAATATGTACAACGAATTTCCGCACTCAGAACCACAAACTATCCTATCACTTATCCCGACGCACCGGAAGTACAGACAAGGCCCGTTGACTTATCAACATTTGCGCACAGGAAAGTAGCAGAACCAGATGCTGGAGCAACCGACCAGGACGAGAAATAAATGTCGCATGTTCCACCTCCTGGACAGTTCAGATTCGCTACATCCGGAGAATTTTTTGAGCTTGTCGTTCCTTTGAAATTTGTGAAATATACGTCTGTGACTGTGGCCGTGCTGGGACTGCTGGCACAATAAGTTGCGTCTTCGTCGTAGCAACTTTGAATTTGAGCTGCCCAATCGCTGTTATTTACTGTAACATCGTTGAAGGTTACGTTCCTGACGATGGCTGATCCGTGTGAGCTTCCTCCAGGATACAATTTGATGCCAACGGCTTTGGTAGAATCGACCATAGTTGCTCCAGTGACGTATATATTTGTTACTGAATCTGTTGTGCCTGCTTTGTTTCCAAGAGAACCAACCGAGAGTCCATGCGATCCAGTACAAGTAATGGTATCCACAGTTACGTAGTTTGCTCCGGGCTTGAAAGCTACACAATCATCTTGATTTGTAACTGTTATGTTGGTTAATGTAACATATGTCGAGTCACCAACGTCGAATCCGTCTGTATTTTTTGGAGCCGTTGTCGATTTCGAAGCTGCTGTCATTGTCAAGTGGGAATATACGACATTTTTCGAACCTCCTGTAACACTAAAGAAAACGTTGGGTGGATTTTTGACCCTGAGGTTCTTGATGGCGATGTTGGAAGATTTCCCGGTTATATAGTGTAATGTTGGGCGAGCATATGAAGAGTTGATAGCAAAATAATCGTATGCTGCTTGTCCATTTCCATCTATCACCCCGGTTCCAGTGACGGACTGGATAGTTGCTGTGTTGATGCCGTCCATATAGAATATAGCTCGTTTCCCACCCCAAAAGTCTAAATCTTCCGAGACTTTGAGTGTACCTTCGATATTCAGGGTGCACCCAGCACATCCTGTGAAGTCAACAACACTATTTATTGAGTACTGTACGCCGGCCGGTATTTGAATGACTCCGCCGCTTCCGCATGATGAAATGGCGGCAGCGATGGCTGGAACATCATCGGTTCCGGAATTTCCAGCAGAAGCAGGAGTGCAAGTCGCACGCTTGGCAAGACTGACACCGTTCGCTTCGTTTCTCACTGCGGTTGGTGATGCATAGGCGGATGAGAAGAGCGATGTTGCCAAGGCCAGAATTCTAAAGTTGTGATGCATGGTTGCAGATGTAGGGGTAGATATCGAAGAACGAGCTCAATGAGCACAACTTTATATGTACAGCTGGTTGTCTTGGATGGCATAATGGGCTGCTCTCGTTCACTTAAAAGAATTGGCCTACGAAGATCATTTACTTAATGATTACAAAACTACCCTCCCCTCTCGAAGAAAGGGGAAGGAATATAAAGTATTGTCCATTTCTGGAGTATTTCCACGTATAACCATCGTATTCTGTAACAATTAAGGAAAAGATCGACCTCACATGTTTGTTTCGAGGCGTTTAAATCCATCTGTTTCATACCCCTTCACTACTTTCCTGCTAATTATACGGACGTTAAAAAATGCTTCTGACCTCCGTACGTACAGTCCGCGATAACGCTGCGTGAATTGCAGGGTCATGAATTGAGCCTAAATACAGGACCGTCATGTGGCATGTGCGTAGTCACTATCGTCCCCTTAATATACCGAAAGTGACATACTCTTACCCTGATATTTAAATGGAGCACCGACGTGTGGATTTTCGAATATTCCGGTGCCACTGCAAACGGAAAAATGATGATTGATTCCCCGCAAGATAAGCTCGTATATAATATTTCCGTACCATTCCCTGCGAATGCCAATAGATGTATCCATTTACACTATTTTCCTGAGGGATTCTGGGTGGTAGGTTTGAGATCTCAATTGGAGCGGGTGAGGAGCTGAACGAGCTTCATTCCTTGGCTAGATTCAAGAAAACTAGATCATGGAAACTAGATTATGTATAAATACTGTTATGTTACTCATACATTGAACACGCTCCTCAATTGTCATCAATCGACTTTGCCGTTTGCTGTTGAAGTCTACCTTTGAAACCATGGCAACTTTCAGATATATCCCAAGTTTCTTACTTGCCATTCTCTTATTTGTTGGTTCCATAGATGCATCAGCAGTACTGCACAAAAGAGCCGGCCGAACTAGCCCACCGTCTGGATGCCTAACAGTCAGAGGGAGTGGCACTCTTTCCGGCGAATATAGCACATTCGGCGCTGCTTTGACTGCGCTTGGGTCGTCAACTGCTGCTGCATGCATCTTTATATACAGCGGAACATATAACGAGCAAGTGACGATCAGCTACGCAGGAAAACTCACTGTCTATGGATACACTACAAAGTAAAGCCCACTTCTAACTTTGGGAGACAAGCAACTAACTCGTGCCAGCACTGGAACATACAAAAGCAACACAGTAACAATCACGCATGGCATTAATTCCACAACTATTGGCCTCGATGCTAGCTCTACAGCAAATATCAGAAGCGCCAATTTCAAGGCCTATAATGTCAACTTTGCAAATACCTATGGAGCTGGAGTTCAGGTTCGCTTTTCTACTCACGCTGCATTCTGTAGCAGTGGACAATCGACTGACTAATGTGACCTTTACTAGGCCGTTGCTGTAACTGCCAATGGAGATCAGCAAGGATATTATGGATGCTCATTTACCGGCTACCAAGATACTTTGTATGCCAAAGCTGGCAAGCAATATTACTCGAATTGTTATATCGAAGGTAAGTTTTTAAGAATAGAAGAATACAGATGAAAATCGCTGACCATAAAAGGGGCTGTGGATTATATATTTGGAAATGCTGCTGCTTGGTTTGGTGAATGTATGTTATCTCGAACGATCCGAAATCAAATATATGCCAGCGAAATGTTCTAACCCCTTTCCAGGTACAATTGCTTCGAACGGAGGTGGTGTAATTACCGCAAGCTCAAGGACACTTGCTACTGATTCTGCTTGGTATATTATTGACAGCAGCACCGTAAGATATCCTACCCCGCCTTTCGAGCAAATTACTAAACTTTTATAGATCACTCAGGCAGACGGATTCAGTCTGACAGGAAAGGTCTATCTCGGCCGACCATGGCGAGCGCTTGCTCGTGTAATCTTCCAGAATTCTGTATTGACAGACGTTGTTAACGCAGCGGGTTGGACTACACTTGCCGCTGATGCTACACCGTACGTGTGACCCAATAGTTTTATTTGACGGGAAGTGTTGACATGATTTAGAATATTTATGGAATATGCCAATACCGGAGCTGGCTCAAGCACATCTGCGAGGGTTTATGTGAGTAATAGACATGCGAGCGGATCAGAGGAAACATACTTACTGTTGATCTAGGAAACGGCTGCTACTGGAACAGTCAGCATGACCACATTGTGGGGAAGTAACTGGGCTTCTTGGGTTGATTCTTCATACTAAGTTGAAGTCTTGAGAAAGAGGTTGGAATAATTATAATCAAGTAAATATCTCTCCGCAGCTTGATCTGGATAACTTATCCAATCTTGCTGCTCGTAATTATAAGATACTTAGTACCTGGTTCTTTTGCAATCACTTCTTTTCCAATTGACACACCACAACAACCATATCCATAGAAACGCTGTCCCTTTCTCTCGTCTCTAACACCGCCTTATTGAACGCCTGTCTGTACTCTGTTCTTTCCCCAAGCGCTCTGTCCGAAACGACATATCCCAAATCCTCAAGTCCCATTAAGAAATTATCCGTTGTCATTTGTCTCAATATATCGTTACACGGAAGGCGGAAACTGTCGAAAACTTTGAGGCCTTGTTGATTGCATATCTCTGCCAATTTGGAGATCCACCTGACCATCAAATGGGGCTTGTTTAGTAATTTCTTTGTCTGGCGTGGGGATTGATAGAATCAACGACTTACCCAAAATCTAGGTCACTCTTCTTGCACATATCTTGAAACCTGTCTATGACTAGTTCCATATTTATTCACTTTGGGTGTGAGTTCGTTTGGAGAATGAGCACTGAAAGATGCGGAATCCATCTCATCCCATTGAAGATATCCTCCTGGCTCTGAAGTTTCATCCATGGATTAGCTTCTGATCTTCTCACACTCCTTGTCGAAGTATAACGTGATGTAATTACTCAGCATAGCAATGAGATTGTCTAGCAACACTCCAGGATGCCCCCCTTTCATAACAATTGTAAAAGCCCTAATATGAATAATATCGAATTCTTCCTTGAGGTATTCTGGCAACGTTCCGAAAGCATCGAGAATCTCAAGCTTCATGTTCGAGGGGAAATATTCTTTTCCTGGAAAAAGCTCGTTAGGTATGTCGAAACCATGAAGTTGCACATTGGGAGAGACTTTCTGTGATACTTCTAGCAATCAATCTCTGCATTGGTAGAAGTTCGGTTTAGTATTCTGCGACTGTCTCAAAAGCTATTTAAACATTTCCACCCGGCTGCATACTTTTTGAGTTACTTGTTTGAATAATCTCGCATGATGATCATTTGGTAACCCTAACCCCTTAAGGGGCAAAAGTCAATCATTGGACTTCTCTCCCGGTCGAAGTCATGACTTTGGTCTGTGGACAGAAAACAATGATATCGATGCAACCCACACTTCGCACTAGCTTCTGATACAATTGAATATATCATACCACATCACTATGAATTCGTTTCGGCGGCAAGCGATTGAGGGTGCTCTTTCTCCACCGTCAGGAGTGACTCCAAATTTTGTCAACCCACCCAGCATTGCTAAATATAATGTCCTTTGTCAGGCAGTCTGCGTGCCGGTGGTCACTGTATTTGTCGTTATACGACTATATACGAGAGTCTTTATACATTGAAAAACAACGGGAGATGACTGTAAGCTTTCTATTCTTGAATCTAGAGAAAATTTACTGATGTGAGAAGATGCTTGCATAGTGGCTTAGGTAAGTCATCTCACCGACATATTTACTGAAGCTTCAAGAGGCTGATTGGACATGCAGGTTGGCACCCTTGTATATTCTGGAATGGCGTTATCCTGCAAGTTCCCAAGCAGAAAACACACACACAAACAACTCTAACACACTACAGTGAACCAGTATGGCGCTGGAATCCATCAATAGGATATTCCAGCTACAGATATTAAAATGTTTAGAAAGGCGAGTTAGAGGAATACACGAAATAAAACTGTATTAACATCGCATGCGAAATTAGTTTCTGTGACTCAGATGTTATACGGGTCCCAAGTCTTTGCGACCAAGGTCACAATTCTACTTCTCTTGTCTCGCATCTTTGGCGTCAACAATAAGATGTTGTGGGCGATACGAGTGCTAATCGGCTTGATGACACTATACTGTGTTCCCGTAACAGCAGCAAAGATATTCATATGCTGGCCGGTCGCCCATTTCTGAGATCCTCTGGCTAGAAAGGGCAGTTGCCTTAACGAGAATTCCATATTCCTCGCGGATTGTGCCATGAGTTTTATCAGCGATTTCACAATTTTGTTCCTACCAATACCATTGATTTGAAGATTGAAGACTTGTACAATGCGGAAGACTGGGGTCTCGACTGTGTTTGGAGCCGGAATTTTGTATGTATCTTCCCCAAATAGTAATGCAATCTAACAAGTTTCAACAGAGCCTGTACCGCAAGTGTGCTGCGACTTTATGGAGCGCAAAATCTTGGCGGTACTCTCGACAAGACTTATAGTCTAGTACCTATACTCCTCTGGAGGCAAGTGAGAGTCCTGTTAACTCTCACAGATTATTGACTTACATACACACACAGTATTGCTGAGGTTAACGTTGGCATCATATGCGGATGTTTACCACTTCTCCCATCCTTCATCAAAATGACGTTCTTCAAGTCTCCAAGTCCAAACGATTCCACAGAAAACAGTAGTTCCTACCGCCTGGAACGAATACCAAAACCAAAGCGCAATGTTGACGATTCTATATTGCGAACACAAACAAGAATGGACGATTCGGATGAGAGATTAGACGCGGAACAATCTGCACTTGCACAATCCAATCAAGGCAATAATATATGGAAGGGGGCTGGGATAATGAAGACGATAGAAATCGATCAAAGGATTTGACTAGTTGACAGCAGTTTTCATATTCAATTTGTAGTATTGTTCCTGGCCATTATGCTTGTTACTGATCTTTGGCTCTTATACCTATGCCGATCCTGATTTTCAACCAGCGATATTGTAGAGTTTGGAATGATTTCTTTGTGTTGGCTTTTCTGGCTGGTTTCTGGGTTGGTAGCCGAAAAGCATGCATAGCCTTAATCGAGGTTGTATTGCTTCCTCGCATGGTCGAGAAATATATAATCATATGACTGTAAAGATCATATGTTCGGGGGCGGTTCGTTGACCTTCACACGACATGATGGCCAATTCCATCTTGAAATCCAAGCCGTCCATGTTTCGGAAGGTCTATGAATCTTCCATTCTCTCATCCATTAATTTCATCATTTCATCCTCTTCATCGATCTTCTTGTTATAACCATTACTCGTCCCATTACTTGGTCCCAGCCCCCTCTTCCCCAGTTCTTCCAAAATATCATCTTTAGCGATCATCATCTTCTCCCCAAACATTTCTTTTCCCCTCCGTGCCACACCTTCTAAGCTCCGCATGCCAACTACCAAGAACCCTAACTCTTCTCTCTCAACATCAAACACTTCCCACCATTCATCTTCTGGCATTTTGACCCCCTCTTCCTTTGCCGCTAGGTATATTGCCGCCACTGCTAACGCGCATGGCTGATGTGTTAAATATAGCATCTGCGGACTGAGCAACGCTGTGTTAAGATATTGTATTGTCTTCTTCGCGACCGCTTTGCCACTGCCATTTTTGTGTGCTGGTGAAAATATATCGAGAGTTTGGAGATACGTAATCGCGAGAGGATGGGGAAGAGCGACGTGTGTATTGAATCCCAGAGCATTCAGGACTTGGCCCTCAATGTTTATAAGTCGTGTACGGTAGGTTATGTAGGCGGATTCAGAGAGATAGTACGACGAAGAGTTGTTTCTGGGCGCGTAAGAGTTTGTAAGAGACGCAGATTGAGAGAGGAGATAAGCATATACGTTCGTTATGCTGCGAAAGGATCGAGGAGACGCGGATACTTTGGCAGTTAGGTAGAGGGTAGCTGCAGAGAGATCCTGAGAACATGTTATTCTAAGAAATTAAGGATACAGTTACAATTTATCACGTACGCTATATTCATATTGCATCGAGTCATCCACAAGCCGATATCTGTAGAGAAGAACATTTGCTTGAGCTGTAATATCTTGGGGAAGTCCAAGCAGTATGCCTGCGGCTTGCGTGAGTCGTGCGGTATAAAACCGAATGCTGTCTTGAAGTTCAGCTGGAAGTCTGTTGTTTGAGGCATTTTGGTATAATTGTTGAGCTGTTGCAAGAGGATTATAAAGGTGTGACATGGTGACTGGTTGTAAACAAATGAGGAATGTAGCTTGCGACGTCGTTGAGGTTTGGATGCCAGAAATTGTAGCCTTTTGCGCAAGGCTGCAATTTTTTCCAACGACAACCTATCTCCAACTCCAACACTATGAAATAATAAGTTTGGAACCAACGCTTTTACGACTTTTTATTGTTGTTAGTATCTATGAGATACCACTGGTACCAGAGGAATCTTAATTATCTCAATATCAAATACCAACCCAACTCCCCTTACTGCGTAGAGGCCAAGAGAGGCGATCCTCACTATATTAGCAGACTTCGGAAAACCCCCTCCAGTTCGAGAGAAGTACCTGTGACCTTAAGTCCTCGGGTATTGTCCTTTGAGACTACCCCATTACCTCTCAAAAATTGAAGAATGATATCAACTGCCCAGTAAACAGTGTTCTCAATTGTGTCATCGACAGTAGTCCTAACAAACACGCCGTCGACATGCTCCTTTCCGGTCTCTCTTAACAGCCAACTGAATGAATCTTCATAGCCCTTCCAAACAACTTCTTCAAAGTATCCTTCTGACTTCCACATCTGTCCAGGATATCTGCCACCAGCTGGAAAGTCGATGTATAGGAATCTGCTCAGTCTCCTCTCTTTAGCAACCTCCTTGCTAGTAGGCAAGAATAGTTTTATATCGAATTCTTGCATCAAAGCTGCCTTTGCGAGAACTATCTTTTCCTTCGCTCTCATAATCTCATTCTCCTTCAATGCAGCTTCTTTCTCGAATTCTTGTCGTACATTTCCTGATCGCTCTGCACAATGGTCTTTGACCTCTGAGGATGCACCAAACCATGAGCTTCTGTCGTCAGAGGGGAGAGCTTCGCTGAATAATAGAAATCCCTCAACAAATACCCATCTATAGTTAAAGCCTGCAAAAGCATCGTTTCTCATACGATTGCCTGTTCCCGAGGCAAAATACTCTCTAATCTTTCTGCGCATGCTTTCGATGACCCCGGAATATTGCTCAATTAGTTTCATCTTGTCTCCGTCATCTATATATTGAACACACATCTTCGGCTCAGAATTATTGGCCTGGGCAGCTCGAACCATTCGAAGTAGATTGCCAAAATTTACCGCTTCCATACAGTCAGTATTTGGTCCGGTGATTTGTACATCTTCTTCCCCATTCATACCAGTTCGAGCGTATAAATAGACTGGATTCTCGTTATTTTGAGCAAGGCTTTCTTTTAAAAAATGTTCGTCGCTAGGAGCGCTGTTGAATTGGACCAATGGGCAGTCAGATTTCGGAATGAAGAAAGCGTCCTGATGAATTATGGTTGTGAAGGGATGTATAGCTTTTGCATCGCCTAGATTCTTTTCCTCGGATATATCTGGAGGTTTCCTGCCTGTCGAGTGTTTTGTAGTTGGGGAAGAAGAGAAGATTTCTGAAAGTAGTAATGCCAACGTGGTTTTACCTGATGAGCTACATCCTGAGATAGCTACAGTGAGCGCTTTTGGGGTAGTTTTAATGGCACAATATTCTTTTGATGAGAATTGTGGCTCTGTTGCTTCAAGTTTCTCCAGCGATTCAACAGAGTAAAATATTTCTTTTTGCTGGCTAGAATGATAGAAAGGAGGGTTGGTGGTTGTGAATTCTTGAGACTCCATGGCTTGAAATCTTCAACTGAGATCAAACTTACTCAAGGATGATTGATTTTGGAACAATTCTCACTAAATGTAGGAAAGTCTCAACCGCTATTCCATGAGAAAAACAATAAGCTTCAAAAGTCTCCGTTATTTTTCGAAGAGGTTTGAAGGTGTATATCTCCCTATTCGAAAAAAATATTTCTTTGATATACAACAAGTTTTCGATATTGCCGTAACATGGTCTGTTCTATAGAGTGAATCATAAAGTCAGGATTACTGTTTCAATCTTCACGTGGATTATTGTGAATTAAGTGCATTAATCTATCAAGGTGTACATTACTACTTAAAACACACTGAGTAGATTTACGTAAATAGTCAATGTAATTATCTTACTGCGATTTGGTCTTCGTGCGTGTTCACTTGAATCATCATCGAGCTCCATCAAGATTTCACCCATCATTCCCTAGCAGCCTCTGTATTTGGCAGCCAGCCAAGTTTAACAGGATCAATACGAACCAAATTCTCATATACTTGCCATTTACAATACCCCAGAAAACTCGCGTTTAGTTTGCTTTCGATCCCCGTGTCATTCTATAGATTAGTCAAAAACAACAGGAGAAAGCTAATTGGGAGATCACTCGACACGAGGTTCCAGTAGGAATACCTGCGGAATCGAGACAAAAGCGTCTACAACCTTGAAGGAAAAATGACATATATATGAGACACCACTTCTTCTGTCACGAAACAACAAATTTCCATTGAAGGGACGGAACTTTGTCTTGATGCAACATTGAAGCCAAGGCGGGGAGTGCCGCGTGGGAATAAACCAAAAAATTATATACTTATAAATTCATGCGGTCAAAACACTGCCAGCCTGGTGAGAAATCTCGCTTGGGGCCGATAACACTCTAGCTGTGTTCTTTATGAGCTCTTTCGCTCAAGGATTCTTTGCGAGTAGGCATCAAACAGTGGAGTGGGTCAAAGCAACACCATTCAAAAAGCACGCAGGTCTGCACATATTTTTATTATGGAAACATTTGGTTTATGAATATGCAATGCTGTTGAAATATTGAAATAAGAGTTACACTACTGGAGCCAGCCCTATGATGCCACTTGTGCCACTTTTGATTACCGATGAATTCCTCTTCCCGCCAGATTAATGATGTCCATGCTACCGCAAATTTGTCCTCTTCGTGTGTTTTACCGTGTCCCGCGAATTCTTCGTTACTAGGCTTGCCTCGATTCAACTACGGATCTCACTATCAGCTTGGCGATATTGCAGAAAGACAAGAAATCTGCGTTTGAAGAACCAGAAAATTTACACTGATACCAACTAGAATTCGCCTGAGACAAATATAATCTGTATCCGGGGAGCTCTTGACCTGAACATCACCAGGCTTGGAGTACGACTCAGTACAGGGAAACAGTGCTTCAATGCAACCAGATGTGGGGCTGGAAAATCGGGACGACAGAGATCGAATGCCCGAGTTATCGCAACAATTCTGAACAGCGGAAACAGTATAGTAAGTTTCTCCTTGCCAGCCCTGGAATGTAATTTCACCAGTGACTTTGGGAACGTCTGGGCTTTCTCCTGAAAGAACAGCTTTGAAGGAGCCGCTCCAGTTAATTTAAGTTTCCATTAGTAACATTAAGGGTTTATATCTCATTAGGTAGTAGACTTACCCTTGAGGAAAGTGAGCAACTGCATTTTCATCCATAGAACTGGCCGGAACAAAGAAGCTGGGAACTTCAGCAGAGCCGGCATTTGGGGTGAAGAAGATGGTGTGGTCATTGCCGTCGCGTGACACAAATTGAAAGCTGTTTCCCATGACAGGGGCAAGAAATGAGAGGATAGAGATCACAAGAATAATGAGACTGTTGAGCCGAGACATGTCGTAGGAGGGAAAATGTGGATTGGGTGAACGAGAATATCTTATAATGGAAAGAGTGAGGTTCGGGGATCAAATTGATGAATGTTGAGAATTTGACAGTCGATTGTTCCATATGATGGATGAGAAGAATGTTGTGATTGAAGAGAGAAAGTTCCTGGAGAAAATTAAGTGCGAATCTATAAGGAAGAATAGGAGCCAAATACCAAGGCGCTAAATCATGCGAGATGTATATTAAATTAATTATGGAGTGGCAAACGCAAGGTGAATTGCTTCTTTTGAGCTGTTATGAGAATTACTGTGCGATAGTCAGTGATATTGACGGCAAACCATGCCACAAAAGGGACAGTTGGGAATCAATGATGCTAGTGTATTGAATGAGAATTGCGTGAATTTTCAGTCGTGATTTCTAGATGCTTGAGTTCGAGATATGACTTGAATGAAAAGTGACTACAATGTAGAGATAGATCTCGAAGTACAGAGGTGCTTTGATGTATATCTAGCTCTCATAGAAACAGCGATCTGCGGTAGACTATGTGTGAAGATCCGTCACCTATCAGAATCTCAAATCATCAGTATATAAATGCTTGGTAGCTCCTCATGACATATCAATGACTTACGCGACACTATGTTCTACAAAGGATAAGATAATTCGAAGCCGAGACTGGCAATGTCAGAATTGGGAATGTGGGAAGGCAAGAAGACGAAGGACGACGATATGTAGAAGTTTTATTCAGCTGATTGTGAGAAGTAAAAGTGGACATGGGATAAAACAGCAAGAAGAACAAGCTACCAATGCCGAAGGCTTCCGCGGTGCCGAGAGTCTTCAAAGGCAGTCAATTCTAAAAGAAATCTTCGGAGAACACGTCCTGGGGAAATTAGAAGCTTTGATTTCTCGCTAGATCTATATACAGCTAAAGTTGAGAATGATATCCCTATGTAACGAGGTAGTATAAATTATTCTCAATCCAGAATAGCAACTCCACACATAAATACATCCCCTATTTCGTCACCCCACCCTTTGCAAGCAAGCGAGAAAACGAAGCCACGGGCCAACAAAACATTTATGATTCGAGAATTTTTGTATCTCTAAAACAAATCCACCGGAAACATAGTATTTTCGCGCAAGTAACGAGAAGAGGGTGAGCCAGATTTTTCTTATGAATGTATGTGTGGAGGTTTCCTGACAAGAAAAGTCAAAAAGTAAATGCAACCACGGCGAATCGAACGCCGACCTCCACCTTGGAAGGGTGGAATCCTAACCATTGGAATATAGAAGCTATTAAAATTATAAGTATTCCTTTCATTTTTCGTTCCACGACTTAAATTTTCAGTATGTTTTACTCGTATTTTATAGGTGGAGATGTATGGAGTCAAATGGGTGGGTGGAGATGAAATTAGTCATATTCATGCTGCAATGTCAAGGATTTGATCTTTAAATTGTGGAAGACATGACCTTCCTCGATCTACAACAGGACGCCTGCTTGTAACAAACGTAAAAAGAGAGTTCCGTTAAGGTTTGGTAGGACTCATGCGCAGAGCACCTTCCAAAGTAATAATGGACGCCCATTGCAGTTACCGAAAGTTGGCACTTTTGCTAATACTTAAATTGGCTTCTTGTCACAAGTGAAGGTAGTCCTCATATCTGATAAGCATGAATAATCCATACTCCGTTCAAACACTTGCAAGATACACTTATTAGACTGGTATGAATATTTGTCGACAAGGTTGATCTCTTTTCCCGTGGTCTTCACTTTCCATTTAAAGGGCTAACGTATCAAGTTTACCAGAAAGACTTTCAATTAGCAACTTCGCATTTCCATAGTCATTTCCAATTGCTTGACACTGTTTAAATAGCACTATCAAGTCGATTCATTAAGCCATTCGCGATGATGATCCTTCAAGGTCATCGCTCCAACTCCCTATCCTCCGACGATGGTACAGCCATATCTGCACATCAAGAAGCCAGACAATTTCCTCGACGAAACCCTAAGCCATGGGCCCGTGATTCCCCTTTCATTTCGCAAAATTCTGAGCGGCAAGCAAATCTTACACCTTTCAACACCATGCATATGCCCCGTCTAGACTCAGTTGGCAGTCAAGAACGTCGCTCACATATGCCTATCTGGGAGCCTCTCTATATGGAAGACACTCCCGGTAAAAGAGAACAAGCTGAGACACGTAGGAGCCGAATGTCAACGGATTTCAATGCTTCGAAAGAGCTCATTAAGAATCCTTTCTCTAGTGGCGGTGACGGAGATGAAAGCAGCATGGATCACGGTTGTTGCGCTTGGAAGTTGTGTTTGTCTATTTTGACTGCTAATTGGATGTCTCGTGCAATGTGAGGCAATTATTTGAATGCTACCGGCATTTTAATGAGTTTCTATCTCAGGGGAAACTAACGAAAAGAGTTGTGCGTATCAGGATTACCATTTTTGGGGTGGATTAGGTAGAATCGTCATCCATGAAGAATCAGTATTAAAGGCTTCACTCAAATACATCACGAATAATTAATGCCGATATTGTTGATTGAGGGTATCTATGGTATTGTTCACTGGGTTTTCTATGGGAATAGAAGTATCAATGCAATAGGATTCGCACTTTTTTATTTGTGAAAGCAGCATGATCTAAGGTGAAGTCAATTTTGCCCAGCTCTGAATTTCACTGGCCTTGTTTAATAGACCACATAAACGATAATACCGATGGCCGCTATCAGCAGTTTTTGTCCTCCTATTACCTTCCCCAGGCCCCATAGGCGAGTTCTATATTATAGATACTCCAAAGTAGGGGAAGTAAGCGTATGTGCGCTTCATCCGTTATATCATTCATTGATGCTTGCAGAATTCTGTCAATTGCCTGTGGGATATTCTGATAAGGAAATCGATTTGCCCTTTTTGATATTGTTCATCAAAAACTTCTGCTTGCCTTTATTTGAGATCATCTCTCTTGAAAGAGGGCCTTCATATTCTGCGCAGCTTTTACCAAGAAGCTGTCTCTGGTTGTGGAATGACAAAAAAATGGAAGTAAATTGGAAGGGGTGAATAAGTACAAGTTAATCACAATTATTCTTCCCTCCATAAAAGTTGCAAGTTCTTTCATCAAATCAATAAGTTTGCAGCGAATTTGTTCGTGTTTGAACGCTTGTGTATTAGGATCACATCTGCTCACTTGTTCAATCATACAGATTGGCTGTTTAGTTTTGAGTTCCAATCAAGATATGATATCACTCAGCAGTTTCCCTGTATGAAAAGAGCACCTAGAAGTATTCAATCACTTTAAAATTCTACGTTCAGTGTTATCCTTCCCTTCTTACAGCTACCCAAGAAGTGAATTTCTCATACAGGATAATTTGATCCTCGACACCTTCAATGTTTCCATAGTATCAACTCATTGTTTTCCGCGATTCCATAGACGCAGTACCTTGTAGCAATGAGAGTTCTGAGAGTAAACTGGAGCAGTTCTTGGCTTTATTTCCTCACCATACTTCGTAGTGGCTTCAAATATATAAGCAACTTCATGAAAGTACTTGGGTGAATCTCAAAGATTCACTTATATGGTATTTAAGATAAAATCTCGCTAATCATTCTTAATTTTACGCGTCCAAGTAGTATTATTTTCGGCTCCGCTTAAAAACCGACACGGCAGCTTAAAAGTTCATGACTCGATATAAACTCGCACTTTTCAAAATTTGGACCTGCAACAATTACAAAGTAATAAATTCCACATTTCAGTGACCAAGATTTACATTCAAAAAACGTTCAATTCTCAACAACTCTTTGAACAGACCTTTCAGATTTCTTCTACTTACTAGTAAATTCTCAAAGTCACACATTTGTTTGACAAATCATTCTACACATTTTCAACATGAATTCCACTACCAATAATACAACTTCTGGAGGTGCTCGCCGCACACTAGCTTCCACTTCGTCATCGCCAAGAGACGCCCTCAAGCATGGCATCGAGCTCGACAACAACGATGAGCAGCAAGTTGCCAAGCGTACTAGACGCGAAGAAGTTTCTATCACACCACCCAGAAAGTCGGCCGACCACTCCCCAAGAAAAGTTCAAGGCAAATCCAAACCACTATTGTTTACAACTTCGCGCGTCGAAAGCTCCACTAGCCATACCTCTGTTGGTCTATCTAATGATCCCCGCGGCCATCCCTCTCCTTTAACTGCTACCGATGATCATCACATGGCTGGCCTAGTTTCTCAGGATACCACACCCACAGGTTCCCAAGATATTTCGAAGAAGCAATATTATGGGCGTCTCAAACAACTGCTTCAGCAGAAAGATGCTGAAATAATGTCATTGAAAATCAAACTTGAGGTCAGAGAAGAATTCGACCTCGAGAATATTGCTCGTGAGGAAGAGCTTAAAGACACAATTGAGAAGCACCGTTCAGATGCCGAATATTGGAAAGAAAGATCTTCTTGCGGTCTTGAGAGTTACAGTATTTTGCAGGAAAAATACAAAGTTCTTGAAATCAAGCTTGAGACAGCTACGACCGAGTTACAAGTGAAATATAAGAAGCTCGAGGCCGAACACGAAGCAGTCAAGGTTGAATTTGAAGAGCAATGTACTGTTGTAGCAATACAGGAGACGGAGCTAGCCGAATTACAAGTGACATACGATACACTTGAAGCCAAATACAAAACACTTAAAGCTACTGACGTTAACCAGGCTTCTTATGTATTGTATGATGGTCGAAAAGTAAGATATCCCTCATCTTGAGGGATCAATGCTTCTGCTAACTTTGCTTAGTCTCCTGAATTCATATCTGTCAATCCCGAAAACCCATTTTTTACAGAAGAGGAGCTGGCAGCAAAGCGACAGGAGCTTGCGGACCAGAACGCTGCCGAGTTGCAGCAAGCTTTGGATGATCTTTGTAACAATGTCGTCAAGGACTGCGATGTGCCTGTTCAGTCTATCGAAGTGGTCCCGGAAGATATGAGATGGAGCGAAGTACCTGAAGAAACGTCTGAAGCAGGCTCGAGGTCATCAAGCCCAAAGGTAAGAACATTCTCACTACAAGTTTGAAGGTCTCCTAGAGGCTGTTCTCGATTTTCTCCTGCTGATACTATGATACATTCAGAGAACCGGCTCTTCTGTTCCTCTCAGATACGCCACACCATCAGTCACCACCAAGTCACCGGACCCACCCAACACTTATGAATCCAATCTTCGTTTGTGGGCTACACCTGACAGACCTCTTTTCCCTGACCCACCTGAGGAATCTCCATAGGTGTATTTACACATCCAAAGTCAGTATCACTTCTTGTCCTAGAGTTACTTGTATAAAGCGCAGCAACTAACTTGAAGATATCCACAGGCGGCAGGTCGTCCGTTCGATCGATATGCCTAACACATGACGCGAATCTTCCGAGCAACGAAGCAAGACTATCGATTACGAGGACATGTTCATTCTGTCCGGAGGGAGCCAGGAAGCCTTAGGAGTGGCTCTCCTAAGGTGGATTCAGCTTCAATGGGCAGATGAATGATTCCACATAGAGCGAATCTTCCGAGCAACAAAGCAAGACAAACGGTTACAAGGAAATGTTCATTCTGCTCAGAGGGAGTCAGGAAGCCTTAGGAGTGGCTCTCCTAAGGTGGATTCAGCTCCAATGGGCAGATTGATGAATCCAAAAATCCGGTGCCTGTCTGCTGAAAGCTCAATATCGACGAACCATACGAAGGGACTTATCACCAAGAAAATACAGTTACCTGCGACACAATCAATCGTGTTGACGGGAGTTGAATCTTTACGTGCCTTTGAGCTTTGAAAGGAGACGTCCTGACAAAGCCTCGAAGCATGTTTAGACTCTATACCCTGTCCCTGATCGCAAACCACACTTACTTTGTGCTCTGTTCCGGTCAATCTCTCGACCTCAGCTTTATTGAATACAATACGACCATATGCTTTGGATTCAGCACCTATAAAGTTTCACAACTCGATATTCCTCTCAAATAATTCTCATTGCCGGCTCTGTTACGCTTGACATCTCACCATTGCAGACATCCTTTTGCCTATCTCATGGCCACGTCCGGCTTTGATATTAGGGTTTAGGTGCTCATCAGCTCCATAATACATTTGAAATACTCCGGTTTAGTTTCACAACTCGATTTTGCTGTTCGTGGCACCCACTTCCGAGGTTTACGGTCCAAGATACCTCATCTTTGCACGTACTTCTTCTCACTGTTGATATGTGCCATGGTTCAAGGGTGTGTTTTCCTCGAATCCATACTGGTACTCACAAAGAGCGGTGGGTTTTTGTAGATGGCCTACAGGAATCTGCGGTGAAGGATAATCTGATATGTTTGAGATGATTCTCTAAGTCCGTGTACCGATTCTACACCCATGATGACGGCTATGGAATACATGTTTTGGTCACTTTTCTATGGCTCTACTTGCATATGGTTTTTGACGCCCACGGTTGAGAGAAGAATCCCACCGATGGTAGAAGTTGTATTTAGTACTTGCTGCAGATTAGATGTCTAAAATGTTGATTTGCATCCATGAGTCTATACCATGCCGTGAATCATCTCATCTTTCTTGCTGTTGTCTAAATATGCCCACTAACTACACCCCATAGAATACCTCTCGAATCCTACCTGAAGCTTCAGTATTGTACTCTTTTGCAATACAGTCACGATGACAATGCAAATCTGATCACCACTATGCTTCTCTATCAAACCACGGTCCCAGCCTCATGACTTCACTATACCAAGAGGCTGAACTCATATCTTGGTAACAAAATCTAGCAGTTTCTACAAGAATTATTCACTGTATATTGCTAAGTAATAATGAACGTTGAAGGCGGAGTAAACCGGATCCCGCCTCTCGATTCCGTTCAACCACTGATATCAACACATTAATAAGAAACGTGCTCATACCATATGAACTAGGTAACAGCACGAGCATCATATGTAGATGCAATCTCCTGCAACAAAGGATTTGTTGAGTCTTATAAGTGAATTTAGGTACTTGAATTCTCGATCGTCCACGAGATGGAAGACACGACGGGATTTTCCGCGGCTTTCATTTTCTATCAAGCTCCTCTCCTCCACCACCACCAAGAGCCAGACTACCTCTCCATAGTCAATTGGAAACTCTTTATCATATAGTATTATGCAATTGTCCTGAGTGAACTATTTAGAATAATAATATGAGAGCACCTGGTCCCGAGGTCTTCCATGATTAGATGTTGGGTTTTTGTTGGGAGCGCCTCGGTAGAAAACCAAGTAAAATGATTACTTGAAGTGAATATATATTATCCAAAACCTCAAAAAGTGAATATCGCTGCCGCTGCGCCCATCAGAGTTTTCATCAAGGTTAATTAGCGAGTACATTTTTGCGCACAAAACCTCCCTCTTCCCTCTCAAAATTTCTCTCAACCTCCATCCTCTTTACATCCAAAATTTCCAGAATCCATTCAAAGCGTCGTTCATACTTGACAACAGTCGTACTACTTGCAAACATTCAATCAATCAATCAATCAATCAATCAATCAATCAGTCCTGCCGGTACTACATTACAACACACTTCACGTATTCTGACTCTTTTACAACTCTTTTACAACTCTTTTACTTTGCCACAAGAAAACTTTTCTCTCTTGAAAAAGACTGCTTCTTCATACGTCCCGTTCACATAAGTCTTCTTTTACTTTACGTGTTACCCAACAACTCATACCAACAACTTTACCAAGCACTTATTGAAAGCACTTCGTCTTTCAATAGTACTTATTAATTACTTCAAACTACAACTGTAGTTTCAGGATCTCCTCTTTTTACCATCAATCTTCAAGCCTCATTCTCCAAGAATCATGCCTGCAGTTACGCGGTCGAAGTCTCCTTGCAAGAAGGCACCGGCGAATCCAATCCAAGCCTCGTCCGCAGCAGATACGTCCACCAACGTCGCACCGGTCGCAAATATGCGATCCCCGTCCAAGAAAGCTGCAGCCACTGGCGAAAAGAAGCCAGCTGGTGCTCACAATGCTGTAAGTCCCATCTTTTCATCAATCTCATATTCCTTGATACCCGATCATGTTCCCCTATCTTGAACCCCATTTCACATTTCATCAATGCGAACATTCTTTGTTTGTGGAAGCTTCAAGTCTTCGTTTTGATTTTGGCAAATTTTCTTATTCTGCACACCATCCAACAAGATATTGCCATGGCATTGTCTTCTTCGATCACATCCTTTCAATTTAATCATGACACTTGCTGACTCCAAATTTGCAGCTGTCCGATGCCATGGCTCCAGCCTTGGCGCCGCTCTCTCCTTCCAAGAAGAAGAGAAGCGCAAAGACTTTCAATGGTGAAGAAGGCGTTGGCGCGCAATCTTCTGAGCCTATGAAGCGAACACGGATCGAGAGGAGTGATGCCCCTCTTTCCCGTCCAACAAGTGGACAACCTGATTTGGCTGCAACAACCTATCCTCAAGTGGAGAGGGTCGTCCTTGGTCTTGAAAACACGCCAGTATTTGGCACTACTGGTGGTTCTCCCAAGGAGGGTCTTGATACTGCTGTATCAACTCCCACATCCTCTCCAAAGTCCGTCGAAACCACGGCCGTCGCTCCAGTTTTGGACGGCGAAGAAATTGGTGCCATGGCAAAGGCTCCAATTTCTGCGGTCACTGTTACAGCTGGCCAAACCGATGATAAGACGGTTGTCGAGCAACCTTCACCTCACTCCGCTGCCGATTCTGCAGACCCTTTGACTGCCAACGAGGCAGAAGCCCATCTTCCTGCTGCACCTCAGGGTTCTTCTTCGAGCGATCTCGAGGTTGCGAAGGAGGAACTTGCTGCCAAGGCAGAAGAGATTGCTGAGCTGGAAGTTAATCAAGCTAAATTACGGAGGGAGCTTGGAGCTGTCTTAGAAGAGAGAGATGCTCTTGAGATCAAGGAAGAGGAAACTCGTGAGGAAATCAACAGAGCCAGAGAGAACTTGAGAGACCGCTTGGAAGCAACTCATAAGCTCCGACGTGAGAGAGACGAACTTATTGACCAAAACCAACACCTTTCTACACAAAACGGAACCCTTTCTGAAATGAATGACGTCCTAAGGAACGATGTCGAGCGACTCGCCCAGGAAAATAGGGGGCTCAAGAACACTGTTGACGGTTATCGTAGCGCCGTCAATATTCTCAATGAACAAGTTCCTTACCCCACCTCAGATCAACGTGAACTCGAGCGAACCAGGGGGCTTCTTAGGGCCGAAACGGCGAAGACCGCGGAATATGAGGGTCAGTTCCGGGAGCCAAGAAAGTTTTCGGTGCAGATAAGGTAGTTGAGAGCATCGAACCAGTCGATCCGGCTCAAGCAGGTACATCCCACGAAAATCATAACCGCGAGGAACATGCTCGGGAAGATCGCTCTCGTCGTTATCGTACACCAACTCCGGGCAACAATGGTGACAACATTGATTATGTCGACAACGATGGTGTCGAAGACGATGACTCCAGTAACGCGAGTTACGATGACTCCAGTGACGATTACGATCTTCCTCTCCCAGAAGCTCCAGCAGGTGGAGTTACTGGCACTCAACAGTCTAATCGATCTTCTAGTTCAGTCGAATTTTTGAGATCAGTTAGGTTGGAGTGTCGTCATGACCGTGGTTATAGCGGAAATACCTGTCGCCAGTGTGGCGTTCAGGTTCTCGCCGAGGGACATCCCGAGTCGGATCGTGATAGATCCGTTGCTCCTGAGGATGAGTTAACACCTAGTTCCAGTGATGAAGAAGAGCGCAACCGTGATAGCTCTTCTTATGAACCACCCGAAGCTGATATCAATACCCAGGATGAAGCACAACAGGTCGGTTCCCCAGTCCTCTCTGGCAATGAGGACTCTGAAGACAGCGACCAGGAGGATGAATCTCCTTGTCCTTCAATTTCCAGGAAGAGAAAGGAAAGTCCTGTCAGCGCATCGAGCCCTGCAAAAAAGGTCAAGTCAACCGAAACCGAATTGGCTGGTCCTAGCAGTACTCCTGCGCCATGTGCGTCCGTTCCATTCCAGCCTGCAAATCCAGGCTGGGGATCCTCAAGAGTTCTTTCACCACAGGTTGCCGTCACTGCTCAAGCAGCTTCAACTTCTTCTTCAGCAAGTGAGCGAACTGCAGCAACATCCTTATTTCCGACTGTCATCACTCGTTCTGGAGCTGCAATTCAATTTGGAGCTGCGACAACCTTTGGTGCCATTGGCAGTGCTGGATCTTCTGTTCGCTTTGGATCTACGCATTCATTCGGAGGTCCAGCCTTATGGGCAAGAAGTCCTTTTGTCGCTGCTTCTCCTAAGGAGGATGCTGCTGAAGAAGACAAGCCAGCTGATGAAAAGAAGTAAGTCGAAGTCCCAGCCTGCCTAACCACCAACCAACTCATCTACAACACTCGTCATTTCTCAATCATTCAGACGTCGCAGGTGCAGCGATGAATGAACAATGCTTTCTTGTACCTGAAAGGACTACGCTACCTTGAGTTTGGAACGCTCATGGTGGATATTGGGTTCTCGATGGGTTCCATGCAAGAAGCTTTTGTTTTTAGTCTTGCACTCTACGACGTTATCGACTCCTTATACTGGTTGGGCTCGGTTTCGCACTGGATCGTACTTATGTTGGTAAAATTCTCTCCTCTCTCTGGTGTCTTCATCCTGTTCAAGATCGTTTTACCGGTGCGGCTCACTGCCACCATCAAAATTTCGCGGTGACACTTCTCACATTTCAGGCCTGAAAAGGTCCATTCGGGATTTTACCATGAGCAGCGGCGACTGTTATGTGTATTTCCACCATGAATTGGTGTATTCTCAAAGAAACCAGAAAAACACAAAAAAAATTGAAAAAAGAAAACAATCACCAAAAAAAAGCTTACCCTTTCTTCATCTCGACCTTGTCTTTTCATCTTCTTTGGCTTTCGATCCCTGGCCATAAGCAGTTCTGGACTTTTCCGGAATTTCTCTAACTCCAGCATGACGTCTGTTGGTCCAATCATCTCTCTATTTCGAAGACCCTCCATCTTTCGTCATCAGCGAAACCTTATTGGGAGTCCTCTGACCACATGACTCCGTCTTCATATAATCAAGTTTGTTGACATTGTCATGCAACTTTTATCGGTTTGTATACCTCTCAGAATTTCGACGCCAAAGATTTTCCACGGGGCACCTTACCACCTAACTTACTCATCGGTATCATCACCCTTCTCGATATCGATTTATTTTCGACTTACGCACTCGTCTGTCAGCGATGTGCAATACTAATATTGGATTTTCACGCCAACGTCTATCCACCTAAACATGGTCACCATAACCACCATAACCAACTCACGTTGACATTTGCCTCTTTAGCAATGTCCATGAAGGCAATTACGCCTTCATTCATATTAATTTCCCTTCAGGCACTTCCTCTAACACCAGGATTTTGGGAATATTACCTCCTCTTAACTTCGCACCATCTACACCTCGATGTGTGAATCAGCTCCAACAATGACGAAATCCTTCTTCGTATCGAGAGCTTACGGCCTTATTGACATTAGTATATCTCAGCAATGTCTATGCAGGCCATTACGCCTTCATCAATTTTAACCTCTTTTCGGACACTCCTCCACCATCAGGATCCCTGTGAGTATTACCACCCTCTTGATTTCGCAACTGAGGATTTTTCCTATTTACGTACCTGCGACAATGCTACCAAGTTCCTTCTCAGGTCTAACCCTTATCGGCATTTGTCTTGGCAATGTCACCACCAACATCTCACCCCAGCGCTGTCGCTGGCGTGAGAACCACGGACTGAATCTCACCAAGACAGTTCAAGAAAGAGACCTTCCACTCCGAGATTGATCTTCTTGTATTTTCATACTGCGGTGGCGATCTAGTAAGGTACTCCCAGCAGCATTAGGATTCCCGGCTTCGTCCCCAAGGATTGTATCTCAGAATCCACCAGCGGCAGCGATCTAGTAAAGTACCTCCGCACCACTCAGCTAAGTCCTGAAAATGGCTGTACAATCTCGGTCTCTCGGCGTCCCCAAATCAACGGTTCCACCATGTCCAAACCACTGGTGTCGAAAAGTACCACAGACTGACAAATAATCACAAAAACACTTCGAAAGAGAAAATCTTCACAAAAAAACAGTGCGCCCTTTCTCGCCGGTCTGGTATCAATTTCTCCTTTCAACTCAGACGTTCTTGATACTCACCTGGATTCCAACTCACCCATCCAACCATCCTCCGAAAACCCACCGCATCGATTCTCACCGGTTCGTGTCCACATCGACAAGTAGTGACGACTACAATGGACATGGATCTCGGTATCGATATCTCGGCATTCCCCTCTTCTCTTCCATTCCCTTCTCCTTCATGTCGGGAACTCTTGAGACCTCTTTCCCAAACTCCGCTTACTTGATCCTAGACTGGCTGTATGAAATTTCCTGCCCCGAATCACCACGTGCGGCAGATCAGTCATTGTCTGAGGAGAGATCAAGTAAGCATGAGAGGTCCAACTTGAAGAAAAGCAGAACCAAAAAAAAAAAAAGATTACAACCATGTACCAGTAGCTAGTCCGCAGTATATAGTTTCCATCCGAGGCACGTCCGCCTTCGATGCGTCTGATTTTTATTTCCTAGGTTCGGAAGCATTGTTTGAGTATTTGACCTTACCATTGGGGGCACGTCCGCCTCCGATGCGTCTGCTTTTTATTTCCTAGGTTCGGATGCGCGAAAACCCACATATGTGTTGCAACGCTTGGGAAGGAACCCAGGTTAGTTCCCGTATGCTGAGGGTGGAGGACATGCTTGAGTAGATGACTGGGAGTGTTTTGAGTTTTGAGTTTTTGAGTTTTTGTATTAGTTAATTGTGTTGTGGTTAATAATGGAGGAGTTCGGGTTGTATGGATGAATCTGATATGATATGATGGATGGTGTGGATTCAAGGAGCAAGCAGCATGTTGCTATTGAAGAAGAGTTCCGAGCAAAAAAGCGTGCGAGATCAAGATCAACATCAAGATAATCAGAACCCGGAGAGGGCCAGGAAACCTTGGGAGTGGCTCTCCCAAGGTGGATTCAGCTCTAATGGGAAGGAGTGGTTTACGCTCCGTTTCTGTCTAGATATGGGATCTGGAGTTTGGGAGTTCAGGTAGATACCCTTTTGTTTTGGTGGGTTTCCAGAATGGTTTATAAGAATGGATGTTTTACAAATTACTTGTTTGCTTTGATTGTGACTGTGATTGTGATTGTGAAATACTTGTTCATTGCAACCGTGCTGGTGATATGTAAGGAAAATTCAAATTCAAAGTCGAGGTTCTGGGTGATGAGTTAAAAAGGGCCTAGCTAGCTAGGTATTCGAAGCATACCTATCTGATGGTCTAACATTTAAAAGGTGAAATGGCAACTTGCCAAGAGATTTTCGCCGTGCGATCATCCTGTCTGTTCTTGCAAAGTCTCGCAAGTTTCTAAAGTGAAGTCGCCAAATTGAAGACATTAAACGCAAATCAAGGGAAACAATTATTCATTATTTATTAAATCATTAATCGTAACTCATTAGCCATACAGTCGCTCCACGATCATAATCCGTACGTGAGTTCATCGTAAGAGGAGCCAAGGAGTTTGTTCCTTCAATCTCTCCCCCCCCCCCCCCCCCCTCGTCATCATCACCATGAGCTCTGCAGCTCGTCACTCATCGGTCTCGGCTCTAACCTTATAGATCTACCCAGAGATTCTTATCACCTTCCTCAAGTATCCCGACCGCTTAAATTTTTCCTCATAACACTATATGAGCGGGGTTAATCAACCGATCTCGAGAGCGTATTCCTCTACCAGTTCTCAAAGCTTTTCCTCAAAGAGAAATTCATATCGCCTATGAGAATTCTACTACTACAGGCATGATCTAATTGGCTCTTCTCGTCACTTCCCTGTCGTGTCCAAGTCATCGTGGCCTGGCCAAGTTTCTTTCGATTATTGATCGTTCGAAATGAGCGTTGATGTTTTCAAACCCATCATATTCCAACAAAGCCGCATCTTCCTTAAATTCCAAACCAAAGAACGGAAACTTCATTCAGTTAGAATTTGGATGACCAGACCCTTTAAGCATTGCTCGCTCGTTGTGATGTTCAGTAAAGTCCGAATTGACTTCGGCGATCTTCATGAGTCCTATGTTCGTTTGTTCAAGGCGGTTCTTCTGTGGTCGATTCCATGGCAGTCCTCATAGATTGTATACAGAGCCTGAATCCATTGATCTAGTGCAGTCTCAGCTGCAGACATCACATGTAAATCACGTGAGCCTGCTCTCAGACTCTTTCGAATCGACTCGTAAGTCTCAATCATAAGCAAGATCTCTAAGCTTGATGCTTTGTTTTCTTGTCCTGTGATATGATGACCTTGCTGTAGCGATGTGGATAACTTGCTTGTTAGGAGATTTAAGCAAATCTGTAGGCTAATATCCTGGTCCGATAGAGACGTCTTGTCGAATGGTTCGCATGTTGGGGATGCTGCGTTCTTGACTCCGAAATTGCTATTCTCTTCGTCTTCTTTGTATATCGAACTATGTGGTGAACCCCTTCCGTCCGATCCAATAAGCGTTTCGCAATCCGAGGCTTCAGATGGTGATGTCGCATTACGTCTGCAAAGATCTCGAAGACTCTCTTGAGATTTTATTTTCCTCAATGTTCTCTTGACCGGAATGACAGGTATGTCAAGGTTCCAAGAGGAGGATATACGTCGTCGTGGTAATGTTTTCTGATATTGGTTGGCAAACCATTCGGAAGAGTTGTGTTCCATCGCTTTCTTTTCCAATTGGCCAATGAAGAAGACCGGGGTTTTGGCTCTCTTTCGTAAAGTCTCCATTTTAGTGGTGGTACTGCGTTCGTCGGAAGAATATATACTAATCGAATAATTCGAAGGTACACGACGGATGCGATAATTGTTAATGTCGTTATTATGTTGGACTCGAGGTGGATATCTTGGAGATTGTATACTCATCCGTAATTGAGATGGTGGATGAAAGGTATGTTCATGTTCTTTCTCTGTCAGATCCAAGTCTCGACCCGCACAAGTAATCGCTACGTCATTCTTGCCATTGTCATCACCAATGGCTTCATTCTCTTCTTGTATTAAATGTAAACAGGGTTGTCCTCTGAAGTCTGACGCTGTCACAACTTCACCGAATAGACAACGAGGAGGAAGTTGATCCCTAGGTAGATCATTGAACGTAACTTGTTTTTGTGAACGTTTTGCTTTTTGGAATTCTGTTGGTTTCGCATCTTCCGAACTTTTCTTGAGGCCTAAAGAGCCTAGAATGCTGGTAAACGACCTCATAGTGAAGGGGCTTGCTTGGTGGTGTTTCTCGCTTCCTAGTTGCACAACCACAGTATAGAAATCTTGATTTGACAACAATCAACTTACAACAAAGAGCTTTCCTCGACAGTGGGGAAGTTCGATGCATTATATGTGTTAGTTGTTATTTTTCTGGCTTCAGAGCTGAGTAGGGGGATCAACGAGAGATATCATCAGATGATATGACATGGCATTTGAGCTTTGGTATTGTGCGAGTGCGAGTGCGAGTGAGGGCGAGAGTGAGAGTGAGAGTGAGAGTGAGAGTGAGAGTGAGAGTGAGAGTGGGAAATGAGAAGGCTGGCTGTGGCGCAACCATTTTGTCGAATGAAACTCGAAGTTAGTGCACATTGTGCTATTTTGTTGCAGTATCTATATGAACTTACATGTAAAGAAAATGTTACGAGTATATTTCCACCTGCACATTATCAACTCGACCATTCATCTTAACGGCCACGATGTCCTTTTGCGTTTGGGTGGCTGATTCATGCTTTGTGGCATGGTCTTTCTTCGCCGATTAGATCTGCTTACAGTTCCAATACCAACTTTAATCATGGCCAAATTGGTCGAGCGTCTTTTCTATGTGATAAAGAAAAAGGCACAGACTCATCATTTCAATAGTATTCATCGAGATGGCGCGAACTTTTAAGGATCAGAGAAAGGTAAAGAAAGGTATGTTTAAGGCTGGAAAAGAGTTGAAAGTAGTAGAAGATGGGGAATTAGATTTCGTATCATATTACCTCTTGATACGACTTTGTACTACTCAACTACCGAGACTAGCAGTCTATTCGTAGGAGAAAAAACAGGCCGCAATTGACCATTTAATAAATCTCATCAGAATCTTCCAATTAATCGAACTATAAATCAACTCCAAATAAAATAAATAAATCTAATAATATCAAATTAATTCTCGTTTTCTAATTATATTGATCTTTATAAGAATATGTTTTATTTCAAATTAGAAGAAAAGAATTGAATCGTTATAAGTATTCAGAAGTGGTCAAACCTGGCCTCTTTTTTCTTCTATGTAGAGGCAGTGTCTGTATCTATCCACCCCCGAGCCACCATCATTATATTTTGGCAAACACAATCTTAAAAAAAAAAAACTCTATAGACTACAACTCGCTGGGTCATTGGTAAGTCAGAGTACTCTGCTTAATTGCCTTTTTATAACATACTTAAGTTTCAATTCTCCCTCGCCGACGAGGCCACCCATTCATCCATGGATCACGGATTTGTGATATGACAAGAAATTCGGATTTGAGGATAGCCTTCAAGCTATGGTCTTAAGACATTTAAGACTTTATACAAGTGATAATCAGACTATAGATATACATCAAAATCAAATAATATCTGGATTACTTGTGATCTTCCGCACTTTAGACAAGAGTCTTACGAATTCGCGCACCCACTGCTGGGCCTTGACATTGACCATACATCGACGGCTGGCCGACTTTGAATTGCGGCACGATACGAGCTTAAATGGTTCATAACCTTATCCCTACATCAGGAAAATCGCAACACCTCAAATCACGATAAATTGACCTCAAACTCAAGACTTTCTACTAATCTCATATGCTTTGTGCTGGGCGTGAAGTAAGCATATCTGCCAACACACGTGGAATGGATGGGACGAAAGAAGTCAGTCTTTGCACGAAACTCTCGACGTCAGAAAAGTTTACTTGATATGCTGAGTAGAAGAGTTAAGAAGGTTAGTATAATCTCCAAGAAAGAAGCTAAAATTAAGGTAAGGCGGTACCTCACTAAGGCTTTTGCGCTGCTCTTGATTGCTGCGCTCTAGGTCTCATGGAACTCAATGTATGCTTTTAACACTCAAACAGCGGCATGGTAGGCACGCCTTTTTTTTAAACTCAGAAAGTCAATCTATTCCTTCATTGATAGGGCTGAAGAATATCACGGAGGTCATCATTATGTGAGACCAGATTCCACACTAAATGCGGGGTCTTTCAGCTCCCACTACCAGCCCCTTCAATCACGTCTTGGGTCATGAAAGTTCGGTTTCTCACACGAAAGAAATTTTCAGAACCCATCGGCGTGCTCAAACTTTTTCGAGACCTACTCTCGAATGTTGTGTCTGGACACAGCATGTTCCGGGAGTTTTAGGCGCACATGCTCCTAGGCAAATGATGGCGGTGCCTTGGCCCTTCCATCCTCCCCATTTTGAGGACATTCTTGTTTGGCATTAGTTCTCGTACATAATTAGTCTTGATCAATGGTTATCTGCTGCCCTCTAACACATACATCCCTAAAGTGGAAAGAATGCATTATTTCCAGGCCGGTACCATCAGATGACAGACTTCAACTCTACTTTCTACTATCAGGTAGGTTAATAATATGAAGATTCTATTTTTGTCATGTTTCGTTTTTCTTATTCACCATATATAGCCCTACCTAATCTCATTATTCTCAAAGTCATAAGAGAACAATTAGAAGGAGTTTCCAACTTACTACCTCATGAAGTCGTTGCTTGTTTCCCTCTTGGCTATTTCCTTGAGAATATCGCCGTACGATCAAATGGGACACTACTCGTCACGAATATGATTGTCAGCCAGATATTCTATGTTGACCCCAGAGATAAAGATCCCGAATCTACTATTCAGCTGATACATGATTTCGATACTACTTCAGAAGCACCTCCAGAGGACGATGAAGAAACTGGCATTTATGGCTCAAAGAATCACGCAGAAGCGATTGTAGAGCATCCAAGATTCGGGCATTTATTTTATACATTCTCTGGCGTGCATGGGAAAGTTGATACTTGAGCTGTATGCTCTTTGGACTTCCGAGGCTTCGATCCATCTCGTGGAGCAGCTACAACCGTGTTAGAAAAGCTCGCGAATATACCAGGAGTAGGGTAGCTCGATGGTGCCACGATCATTCCTCAGACGTCGACTCTGGGGCTGAATCACAGCGTTGCAAAAAAATTGCGTTCGATTTACAAACAAGAGAAGTCTAGACCTGGATTGAGGACGAAAGATTAGGCAAGGTCACAACTTGGCCATCATGGCCTGTACTCAATGGCCTGGAGTACTTTAGAGGTCAGATTTTCGGAACGGTGACTGATTGTGGAACGCTCGTGAAAATGCAAATAGATGAAACTGGGGATTACAAGAGTGGTAGTCTGGAAGTTGTAGTCAATCAGATGATCGGGGATGACTCTGCCTTCGATTGTGAAGGGTGTGCTTATATAGCTACAAATCCGGCACGTACAAGTTTGAAGTTTGTCCAAATTGCGACTGAATCACCAAAGGGGGAGAGGCTTAAGATTTTAGGTGGACTAGATAAGAAGGAGACGGCAGGGCCAACTGCTCTAGCCTTCGGAAGCGGGGAAAATGATAGTGACTGCATCTATGTAGTGACATGCGGTGGAGTCGTGAATCCAATTGGTGATAATGAACCAGGGCAAGCATTGATGGCCAACGTTCGTATTGGAGTGAGAGGCGAGGCTTGATAGACTTCGAATGAGTGTTGGAAGTCTGTTACAGACCCATACATATAAAATTTGAGATTCATATTGTAAATTATCATCAACAATACGTCTTCCTGTCGTACATTTGCGAACACTCGTACACTTGGAGCCCTCTGCGGTTTATGCTCAACTTCATTCCCTAAATCAATACTATCCACCCCTTGAAAACCCACCAAGACACAGGACTAGGAAACAAAAATTGCTTGCTACATTTTCCCTCTGGCTAAAACCTCGGATCAAACAAAGAAAGCCGGTGTCAAGCTGCGCATGCAATCTTCTTTAATTTCCTCCGTTATCCTTGCATGGGATATTTCAACTCTTGCCGTCTTTCACTTGGGCCATTCCTCGGGCTGAATCTATGCCAAACCACAGCATTCAGATAATCTTATTTTTGCAGCTCAAAAACGAGCAAATGTTCAACCTTGGAATAGCAAAAATTAAAGGAAATTTGTTCGAATTTGATGCATCTGCAAGTGCGACCAAACTTCTGTACTCTATCTCATATGACTGGATCATTTTTGTTGTCACCCACACACAAGAAATTATTAAGGTCGAAATCCATTTACCATGACTGTGAAGCTGCATATCTTTTGACCGTGAGACCGTTTAACGTTTAACGTTGAACGGCTGACCTCGGTACGTACCCGTTTAGCCGACGTTCATCCTGGCGTAACTTTGCAAACACTGACTCAAAAAGGCGATTCACTACACTCGCGAGAGTAAAGCCCGAACTCTACATCAGACTCATCTCCGATGTGGTTGTAGTATTGAAAAGAATTATGGGGAGAAATTATTGACCAATCTGCTCCTTTAAAGGATGTATTTGAGCAACAGGCAGGTAGTTTCAGGACCTCGGCGAATTTATCAGGCACGCGAGGCGCCTCACGCGCATTTCATGAAGACATTACGTGAAAATATTTAGACGCGCGCCTTGTTTCGATCTTGACTGTCTCACAAATGATCCGATCCGGTGCTGCCTTTTTTATCCTTGGTGATGGTCATTCCTTCAGGAATATTTAACGTTAGGGTTAAGTTTGGCATTAATATCCGCTAAGCTTAGCATCGGTGCCTGCTGATCATGGGGGTTTGTCGCCATAATTATCTACATGGGTTCATATTAAGTCGTTGTTAGTGCCCCCTATTCACTCAAATATGCCCGCTTACCCCAGACGCCAATATGCGGAGGAACCTACAAGCAACGGTTTAATATCACAATGTTAGAATTCGGTATATCGGGTTATTGAGTATCATGGACGAGATCAAGAAAGAGAAATGATATCATCAGGGGGCCGTGTTCCCATATAAAAGTATAAGTCTGGGCCTAAAGCTACAGTTACGACCATTCCTCAACATTTCCTTTTAAGTAGACACCAAAATTCTACTTCTATCCATTCTTTTTCGTTGACGCCATGTTCTACCGCCCTTCACTCTTCGGAGGCTCGCGTCTAGCACCTTTGTATCTTTTAATGTTCGTCTTTGCAAGCTTAGTGAACTCTTCTGCACCAAAAGACTTCAAATATCCCATACAGAACCAATTTTCCTCCAGACAGGACGCCAGTGCTGTTCCAAGCTGGCAAAAATATATCAGAGCTCCTTCCTCCAATATCATCGCACCTCAAAGCATTGTTAATACCTCCGGAGATGTCAACAATCGTAATGCTCTGCTTCGACAAGGTGGTGGGGTTACCACCTTGACTAGAGCTAATGGATCGAGTGATATTCCTTCTATTATTGTTGACTTTGGACAAAACACTGTGGGATACTTGAGCATCAACTTTGCTGGTGCTTCAACAACTCCCCCCGGTGTTCGACTTGCTTTCTCCGAAACGTTGACATATCTTTCAAATATCAGTGACTTTTCGCGTTCAAATAGTGTTAGTATACTCCAAATCTTCTCAAAATACAGCTTGCATTGACAGCAACTTAGGGCGAAACGATCACTCCGGGATCTGACCAGGTACGATATTCACTGTGCTTCTCGACGCCCACTACTTGTTTCTAACTGCAGACTATTCAGATTGCTGTTGATAGCGAGCCTTACACCTGGACCGAAGTGTACGGGTGTCAATATGGTACACAAGTGTGTGCTGACGGCCTTCATGGTTTTCGATACGTCAAGATCTATCTCGATGCATTAGCCGCAGATGCACCATATACAGCCCCATATGGAAAAGTTTCCATCGATTACTTGAGCTTGAAGTTTTCAGGTGTTCATGGTACCCCCAATACTTTCACTGGTTGGTTCGAAAGTTCTGATGAGGATTTCAATCAATGGTGGTATGATGGTGTTTACACTAATGACATCGCAACCGACATTTTCCGACAAAATTCTAGCGACCCTCGAGGTGCCTTCAGTCCAACTCTCGATGGTAAATTAGTTCTTTTGGACGGAGCAAAGAGAGATAGAGATCCATATGTCGGTGATGTTGCTGTTGCTGGAAAGACTTTATTCTTATCGCATGATGCACCCGAAGCATCTCGTAATATTCTAGCTGATTTAGGAGATCATCAACGTGCTGATGGATGGATTCCTCCCGCATCGATGTAAAGGATTATCTCAACTATTGTTCACGCGTGTATGCTTACTTTTTAATAGTGCCAGCTATGAACTTCACCTCCTCGATTATCCATTGTGGTGGGTTGTCAGCAGCTATGATTTATTGATGTACACTGGCGACAGCGATTACATTACAAAATACTACCCCAACATCGTCAAAGTACTGGACGTATTCTACCCATCTGTCACAGATAACGGTACAAGTCTCATCTGGAAAGGAGTTGGTATCTCAGGAAGTTATGGCGATTATGCATTCCTTCCTCGCTATGGTCCAGTCACATACTACAGCGCCCTTTATGTTCTTGCCCTCGAGAACGCTGCTGTGATTGCCAAAACCCAAGGTCAATCTTTCGATGCCTCTCGCTGGCTCGCTCGCGCTAAAGTTGTATCTAATGCACTCAATTCGAATAACTTCGACAACTCAGTCGGAGCATTCTTCGACGGACAAGGACCTCCCTGTGCCAGCGGAGAATTTTGCAACACCCATGCTCAGGATGGAAATTCCATATCTATCCTCGCAGGAGTTACCAATTCCTCCCGCTCAAATTCTATTCTCAATTACCTCAATACCGCCAATAAGCGCTTTTACGGCAACTCATTCTACGACAACGACGTTCTGCAAGCAGACTTCTCACAGCGTGTCTATGCATTTATATCTTTCTTCGAAATTTCTGCACGATTTAAGACCAATCTCGTAGCAAGCGCCTTTGATGAAATCAGAAGATTATATGGCTGGATGGCCAACAACGATCCCAAAGTTACCATGTGGGAGGGTATTGGACCGAATGGAAGTGCATACGAACAAGGATTCACCAGTATGGCTCATGGCTGGAGCACGGGTATTGTGCCTGCAATGAGTAATTACGTTTTGGGTGTTATTCCTACCGGACCTGGATTTTCGACGTGGAGTATAAAACCATATCCGGGTGATCTCAAGTGGGCTAAGGGTCAAATTCCTACTCCGAAGGGTCCAATCACTGTGGATTGGAGTATTAAGACCAGTGGACGGTTTGTGTTGAGTATAGCTGCTCCTGTTGGTACATCTGGGTCAGTGAGTCTACCGGTTCAAATTGGTGCAGCTGCTAAACGCGATACTGCGCTCGAAATTGATGTTGATGGGGAGGTTGCATGGAATAATGGACCTAAAGCTTTCGATGCGCAGTTGAATGGGGACGATGGATACGTTACTTTGAGTTTGACGGGTGGTGCTGTTCATAATATCACAGTCAAGGCTTAGTGATTGGGCTAATCTTTCCTTTTTGTGTACTTATTTGAAACGAAATTTCGCGCGTATTCATAGGATTGGCTGGGTTAGGAGCAAGGATTCGGACCTTTATGGGAGCATAATTGTAAGGTATACGGTGATATGGTTTTTGGGCAAAGTAATCGGCATGGGCATTATTCCCTTGATTAGTGGATAATGAAATTATTCTAATAATCTCTTTTGCACAACATCTATTTGTCCCAGTAATGCACTGCATGTACTATATCACGGATCGGCAGCTTTCCGTGCTAGCCAGGGTAGTTCGGATCATAAGCTTGGATGTCGTACAACGATCACACAGAGGAGAAGATCACATCCTATCTCGGCACATCCCCAGATTTTAACCAAAATTAAGCACCAGCACGGAGAAGCAATCTCTAAAATTGAGTCTATGAAGCACTAGGTAGTTACGGATAAAGCGGGATCACAAGGTTACCTCATAGCCGAGATTTACGGGGTAGTACTCCTTTCCATTCTATTTTTCAATACCACGAACATACCCACCGTTTTTCTACAGCACACGATACATTAAAGATTCTTTTCTAAAATGGATCGCAGACCATTCAAACATGTGCCAATGTAATACCCGTAAGAGAACATTCCTCATCATAAACCCTCTTTTTATCCCTCCCATCCGTTCCCACTCTATAAACCGCACCCCCCAAATCCGTCAAATAAAATGTTTATTAATCGTGTACAGTTTCAATTCAATCGCCTCATGCAACTGTCTTGTCAAGATTTGATATTCATTTCTCTCCTCGCTATCCTCCCTCAGCGCTTTCAATGAATCATCTCCAAGTTTTGCCGCGTTCAGACTATTTCCTTCTCCTCGATCCGTCCAATATAATGTTTGTGTATCTTCGTCTATCTCGAGATCAATGGACTCAGGTAGTCCTTGGAATAATAACTCGATGTCTTTCCTAGTGGAAGCATTTTGACCCTTAGGCATCTGGAGATTGGCGCGGAAAATCCTCCCTTTTCCCCCTTTTGAAAATCCCTTTTGCGTCCATTAGAATTCTCCTTTGTTGTTTATGGAGATGCCTACAAACCATTTGAGTTGATCTTTTGCATCTTCTGGATTGTTCCAATCACCGGTTTGGATAACGGTTTCGTGTTCTGATCCGTCGGAGTTACATCGCATGGCTCGTAGACCTTCGCGGTCACAGAAATATAGTTTCAAAGCTGCATGATCGATGATCAGTTGTTTAGGGGTGTGGATTGCGCCGGATGGAATCACGGTTTGAATGTCGCTACCGTCGAGTTTGCAGGATTGTACTGTGCCGTCGTTGGATGTTGGGATCCCCATGCATGTCCAGTATATCCGGCCGGTTTTGAAAGAAATGTCAAGACCGTCTAGGAGATGTTGACCGGAGACTAGAGTTCGAATTTGACGGCCATCAACAGAACCAACTACGATTCCGCCGGAGTTTAAGGCATCGGTCAGGAAATTGAGTCCAATGTCTAGCATATTTCTAGGTTTGTTAACTTCTGTTTCGTAGGTGATGAGAGGAATGACTTACAAAGATGGAGCATGCAAATTCTCATGATGATCTTTTTCTTCGCCCTTGATTTTTGTTGTTTGTCCAGGAGGATACAATCCACTCTTTCCGCTTTTAGCACCCAATCTTCCCTTATCCAGATACCTCTTCTCTAAGAAGTCATCCGTATATTCCGAAGGTAAACCCCTCTCCTTAACACAATGTTCCTCAATGAACGCGACCGTATCCAACCCCACTCCATCCATCATAGCACAAGGGCCCATGCCCTTCCCACCCCCAAACATCTCCACCCAAACCCTATTTAATTCCTCCGGGGTCGGCAAGAATCATCAAACACTCTCTCTTTACACTCGCCCAAACGCGATTAAATCCAAACCCCGTGCTCTGCCTCTTCGCAACAATAGGATGCATACCCACCTCCTTCACCTCTCTACATACCACGGGAAGATTCCCTCCTCCGTCTCCCCACCCGTCATAAGTTCTACAATCTTATTATCCGGGGGCATCATATATTGTGTATTTAAAATCCTCTTTCTCGTCTCCCCACGCACCTTCCCCAGCATTTCCAAACTTTTATAACTACTCGAATTACTAACCAACCTCCTGATGCTCATATGCAGGCGATGCGACGGCCGAGTACGCCACCGCCTAGGACGGTTATGGGACGGTTTTTAGTGGTGAGGAGTGTGAAGGTCATTTTTGGGTCTTGGGGTAGTTGAGTCAAATCAAAGATTATGTCGAAGGGTTTGATGCGAAGGTAATTCAACTGGATTGACTTTGGGAAAAATTCTTGATGAGATTAATGTAGGTTTACTGTCATTCAGTGTCTGTATCAAGATTTCTCTATCGAGAAGTCCTCCGCAAGTCACATAAAATCCACAACCCAAACACCCTCACGTCCCTCCCGAACATTGCACCCATCCTCGGTATGATGTCAGGGCCAGCGATGGAAGGTGAAGCTAAACGTATCCATTACAATTCTATCAAACGACTTATCTGGGCCTCGGTCAAGCTATCTGAAGCTATCACACAACTAATGTGGGCCGTTCCGGCCGGATTTAAACGCAATTAGCTCGAGGTCTGGCCAACTGAATCTGGTACAATACATGCTAGCCATCTTCATGCAGGATTTTGAAATTGATGGCCGCAGTCTTTGCGTATTTTCTGTATCATACGTATGCTCTGGACAAAGCGGAAGTATCCTTATATTTGAAGTTAAACCTTGAAGGGAGGTCGAAGTGCGGATGGACGGCGGAAGTGAACGGGTGCTTAGTTTTCGGCAGTGGTCGAAAAATTTAGCACGCTTCACGTCAACTTAAAACTTTGATTCCAACGAGAACAAGAATGGTAAACTCCAGCCTTATTTCCAAAATGATACAAATAACATGAAGCTAGAATAAGAAGACCTGGTCAGGTAATTTACTGACAGCTCGTGGCTTTTGCCAACCTAGCTCTACCAAGCTAGTTTTCATCGAGTCAACCAGACCCGGTGGACCACATAGTAACGCCTTACTATCGTCGCTTGGTTTTGGGAAACATTCCTTGACCATCTCCTTGGTCACATACCCTTTGGCTAGTTTCCAATTCATCGAGGGTTTGGATAGTACATAATGTACTTTGAGATTCTCGGGGAATTTCTCTGCAAACTTGTCCAACTGTTCGCGGAGCAAAATATCCTCTTCACTATTGTTACCATAAAGAAGAGTAACAGATGTTTCATCTGTTGGGTCTTCACATATTGCTCGAATTAACTTGTTCAATGTTAGCTTAAGTTGTGTATAGAAGAGGAGATGTTATTACCTGATACATCGGTGTAATTCCCGTTCCTCCTGCAATCATTCCTATCTTTTTCACCATTCCCTTTCGATATCTCATCGCACCTTTTGGTCCACGTACTTCAATTTCGTCTCCAACTTTGAGATGCTGGAGATATTTCCCAGTGAGAAGTCCATCTGGATACATCTTTATCACCAGTCGAAGTTCCCCGGGATCGGAGTTGTTAGAAACGGGTGTGTATGATCTACTGACGAGCTTCCCATCGATTTCTGTTCGAATACTAATATGCTGTCCAATAGGAAGGCCAAGTATCATATCATCTTTCGGAAGTTTGAATATCAAATGATGAGTATTTGAAGATAGTTTCTCCTTCTTGACCAAAGGTAACTTTTGATAGATATCCGGTTGTAGATATCCCTTGACTTTCGTGATTGGTTTGGCAATCTGGATAGATGGTTTGTAATGTGACGGGTAGAAATATGGATTTTTGAAAGATCCCGATAATGCTTTTTCGAAATAAAGTCCCGCTCCTGCCGCCATGGATAGGGTAGCGATACTTGAAATAAGTACACCTTTCCAGAATCCTCCATGTTGTGCATGAAGCCACCCGATCTTTGGTGATCTCGAATAAACTTCATAACCTAGATAAAACGCAGATCCAATTGAAAAAACTTTGAGTCCAGCCCTACCAACAGTCATGAGCGGAGCTTCGCTACTGAAGTCTTGATCTTCTGATTTAGCTGTCAGATCTGGTTTCGGCATAGGCAATCCTCTATCTTCATCTTCCTCATCGGGTGCCCCTTCCAACCTTCCTATCAGAAATGATTCCATTGTTTCTCGCGCATCTGCCGAATGTCCAACATCTTCAAAAGCAACTGTGGAGTCTTCCCCTCCAACTTCGAGCAATGAATCTGCTCCACCAGGGTGATCTTCAAGGTATTTTGTTACATCGTAAACTTTAGAAATGTCAGCTTTTTATAAATAATACGTGGAGGTAAAAAAAGAACCATTATGATGGATCACTAGCCACAGATCCGACTTTTTGTTGTGTTTCTGAACCTCACTGAGGGAAAATTGCTTGCTTTCACTCATAATGATGATGATGATATGTTTCGAGTAGCTAGGCTGAGGTAAGTGCGATCAGGTATCTCTTCAAAAGACAATGAACAAAACTTCCAGTTTACGGAGAGACAAGAAAGAAGGAAGAACTAAATCTCTGAAAGACCGAGGATGCAGATATGAATTATCTCCGTCGATGCCCCTGATTATTGATTCCGAGGTCACTTCAAGTCATGCACATGTCGTATACGAGATGGCCTCAATGTACAGCGACGTTTCCAGCAATCAACCCGAGTTTTAAGATTTGATGAGAATCGTAATCATCTTCTAGTTCATAATCAAAGACATTTTAGCCATGGCAAGATGGTTCCATATCAACGATTAGAAAATTCCCAGGGGCTTTTCACTAGTATGGAATAATCGCCCACTGAGACCCACCGACCGACTAGCCGTATATCTGCCGCTTGCCGTTCCGGAGACTAACCTTAAGGTTAATAGTCGGCTCTGATATACGGCTGACTAGTTCCGCCGTTTATCAGAGTCGACTATCAACCCCTTTAAATGAGGCTGTATGGGCTTTCATCCAATTATCTCAAGGCTATTTGAATTTCTTGATTGATTGTTCACCACATCTGGGGACCCTGTAAGAATTCGTGAAGAAATATACCGAGGAACCGCGGCAAACATCTACCGATAGTACCGCAGAAAATTTCATGTAGACGGTAAGTCCGCCTGGTAAATTCTTAGAATATATAGTTCATAACCTGGCATCTTTCTGAAATTTTAGCAAGTCAATATACCATAAAGCAGGCAATTGAATTATTCAGTTCTCATATTTCTTTTCTAGCTTGATACTCGCCTTCCCCTCCATTGACTTCATTTTTCTCTTGTTTGTCTCCTTGTATATATAAAACCATGGTAAAAAAATCATTTTTCTTACTGGGACAGCCAGCGAGATCATCTCAAGCACTTGAAGTCGATCTTCAAAATACATTTGAGTTCCTGCAATACACTGTTGCTCAAAAGTTTTCCATAGCAGAACCATCAGGTAGGTTCGCATTATATGATCTAGCCATGCAGTAGTTAACCCATAATCAGGAATCTCGTTTCAGACCGATGAAGATGGAGTTCTCGATGATCTTGATAGCTTCGTAGATGTATCTTCTCCAATCGGTATTCTAATTGATGGGAACCAAGTCAGAGATGTTCCTGGACCAACAGGGCTCCCCATTGCTGGAAGTTATTACGAAGTTTATCCTGACCATCTCGGAAATCACCAACGTTTGTTTGAACAATATGGGCCAGTGTTCAAAACGACAGACATGGGTCGTACGACATATTATACCAACGATCCTAAGGTTGCCGATATCTGTTTTGGAGAAGGAGGTTACTGGTCGAAAGTAATCAATTCCGATCATCCCCTCTATGGTATTAAGGATCCTATGGCAGGCATCTTCCTATCCGATACGGATACCGAATCATGGAGAGCAGCACATAAGTTTTTAGCACCGGCGCTCAGTCCGAAAGCTGTTAGGCATTATACACCTCAAATGCAAGACACAGCGGAACAAGCTTTCAAAGTCTTCGATGAATTGGACAATAAGGATGAAGCTTGGAACGTATATCAGTATATGTTCAAAATAGGCTCTACTGCGATTGGAAAACTAGCTTTGGGAATGGACATGCATCATTTTGACTCGATCGATGCACCCCTTCATGACCTCGTAAGGACTGTTGGCAGAAATCTGGAGCTCAACAAGAAAGTTTCGACAATGGGAGATTGGTATTCTCATATGCCATGGGGAGCACCAAAGCAATTGAGAGATAATCAAGCACACGTGAAAGAATTGATAGAAGAAGCTATCAAAAATGTCAAAGGTGGTGGAACGGAGGATCTACCGATTCAAGATGCTGCTTTGAAGGCAACTTGTATTGTTGACTACTTAGTGAGAGCGACTGATGAAAAAGGCCACAAGCTTCCAGAAAAATACCGTAACAACGCGGCACTAGTAACTATTGGAGCTGGATTCGTTACTACGGCTTCACTTCTCAGTTGGCTCCTATATAGCATTACTTCGTACCCCGGTAATCAAGAACGTTTGCTCCAGGAACTGGTTGACCACGAGATCAAGAATGATACAGAGTGGACACCGGACCTTGCAAATTCACTGGAATTCCTCGGGATCCTCATCAAGGAAACACAACGTCTCCACAATCCATCTTATCAACCAGGTCGTACTGCTCTCGCAGATGTAATTATTCCTGGTGGTTATCGCATTCCGAAAGGCTCCGTAATGATCATTGCCGTTCATCACATTCACAATAATTCGAAGGTTTGGGACTCGCCAGCAGATTTTGACCCTGATCGTTGGAACACGGATAAGGTTAAAAATCGCCCCAAGGCCTCCTATGTGCCATTTGCTGCTGGCCCTCGAATGTGCATTGGTTTCAATTTCGCATTGCAAGAAGTCAGAGTCATTCTTTCAATGTTGGTGTATAGATATGAGTTTGAAAAGATTGGTAATGAGCCAGTGGAATATGATCCGGAATTTCAGCTGATCCGTCCGAATAACTTCTATGTGAAAGCCAGAAGAAGAACGAGATGGCCAGAGAAGTCAAAGAAACCCATGAGTGCTGAATAGATTCGAGATATTTGTCAATATATGGTATTTGT